TAATTATTGAATTCTAATGCAAATCGTGCGCAGAGTCGCAGATGCCTGCGGCTAGAGAGTGGCTCGAGTGCTTGGACAGGATGCAGGATGGACGGGTGGGTATGGGGCACGGGCAGGGGCAGGGGCTGGACGCAGCTCGTCACGAATGAAATTTATAGACACGACTCAAAGTGACAATGACATTTGAACAGGACTCGGGGTCCGGTATAATCACAGCCAAAGGGCGAGTATTTGCGGGGGCGGCCAAGTTGTCAACATTTATTACGCACACACACATACACACACGCACACACCTCTTGATTATGCTGCGTACTGTTTTTATGCCTGCAGTGCGACGTGTTGACGACTTAGATGAGGTTGGAGTTTCGGGGTTGTTGCGTTTTTTTGTTGCTCTGCTCATCTTCTACCTTTTTTATGCCTCAAGTGGACGGCGACGCGCTTAAGTGGCTACACACCACACCCACACCACGCTCGCCTCGGCCCTGCCTTCCGCGTCGCTAAAACACTCCTCGCTGCGTTTTGTCTTAATTCAATCGATAGTTCACACATGTAATCGCATGATTGGGGGCTTCCTGCTTTCTATTCCCAGTCTCTTTATTCGTCTTGTTGTCTATTTTTATCGTGTTTGCATGCCGCACACGTAGCGGCGACATTGTCGCAGGGCGGTGTGGTGGGGTGGGGTGGTGCTGCTGCTGCTGCTGGTGGGCGGGGCTGTGGGGTTCACTTGTGCTGGTATTCCACATTTTTGACTTTAACCTTAAATCGCTAAGACGTCTTCATTTGGCCGCGTCATGCCTCGACAGCTATACACATATCAAACTTTCCGCTCTCTCCCCTTTCTCCCTTTTCCCCTCTTAGTCTGCGTTAGCCACTCATTAGGCTAATGAAGCGCTCCACTTGCCTCATTCTGTGGCATGCTTCAAAAGCTCATTAGTTCATTAGTTGACGCTTTGTCCGGCAAAAGTTTGCTGCGAAAATATGCTCGTAAATCTCTGGCACTTGGAGGAGGAGCAAATCTCTCTTGCAACAGGAGCAAAAGGAGCAGGAACAGCAGCATGAAAAAGCGAAATTTATCGCGCCAAAGGACGAGTGCCAAAAAGTTTTATCCAACGCTTATCAATCATTGACGTATGTGTGTGCGATGGGAGAGGAGCACTAGACTTTATCAAGAAGTTTGTTACACACTATCGATTCCCATATTGCGCACGGATTTCTGTGCGAATCAGATACGATAATTGCTTAATCTTACAAGGTTAGGTATATCAAACCCTGAAAAGTCCAATTATATATTGAAAATCAAATATCGTGACTGAAAATATATAAAAATAAAATAGAAGTGAAGAAAATGTATAATTTTCTTTAATTTTATCTTTATTAATTATAATAAAATAAAATATTAGAAGAAAATATATTCCGTAACATAATCTCCGCCCATACTTCAGGATTCGATGGTTCCATTTGTTGTAGCACTGACACAGGCACTAGTTCATAATAGATTCCGTTGTTGCTTAATTATTTTTTATGGTTGCGCTTGAAGCATGCATGCGCCGTATTCATGCAGAAATGAAACCCAAATATAAAGAAATAAATAAAGGAGAGAAAAAGAAAAGTGTAATTTGACACTTCCTGCTTGAATGGTAGAGGCACAGCTATAGTCAGGGCCCATTGGGCGAGCTTGTAGCCAAGTAAATAACCCAAATGAAATCGAAATAAAACTGACAAAACATAGGCTATATACATATACATATATGCATATATCTGTGCACGCGATAAATAAAATTCGACAAGATTTGCGCAACTTCGACGCGTCGAAGAATCCCTCTACATTACATAAAGACGAGCCGAAGATGCCCATGGAGCTTTATTTGGGGCTCGCTAGAACACAGGAAACTCGCAAAATATGGAGACATAATAATAGACACAGGGAACGACTATCAGATACTCTTTAAAATATTTGCAGTTTAATAAGGAGAGAGGAAGTCGGCAAACAAATGCTTGCCAAAATATATAGAGTATGGATGTTTATAGAGTATTCAACGCTGAAATAAACGAATAATTCGTGTCATGGGGGAGCTTCAACCAGATGGTCAGCCGATATCAAAATAAACATTGGGAAGATTCGGTTTGGTGCATTCCAAAAACTTTTATTAACTAACGCGATCTACATCTTGTTGTCCACTTCACCGAATTACGCTGAGCCTTCGGACCGCTTCTGGCCTGAATTGTTTATAAACAAACGAGGCTTATGCCTTCTGTACTTTATCCATAGCTGAATGTTAATGATTGTAATCCAATCCGTCTGTCGCCCGGTCATGAGCATCTGGTGTTGCACTTCAGGCCCTCAAGTAGCCATATTCGATTTGTTTGTTGACACAGCTTTCAATCGACTCGGGCTCGGACTTGGTATCCGCTAAAGATGCTGAAGCTGGAGCTGAAGCTGGATCACAGGCTGTAGCTGTGGCCCCGTCTGTTTACTTTGAAGTATCGAGTTTTGCAACTGTTGCTGGTGGTCGTTCGCTTTATCAATTGCCGACAGACCACACAACAACGTAGTTCCATGAAATCGGTCGATCGTTGTCTCAAAGTCAAAGAACAACAATTCCTTATCGCCTGTTGGGGCCTGATGAAAATCTCGGTGCCTCACTAACAAGTACAACCCCCGTTAAAAATCTAAGCTGAAATAATTTCTATAAATTCACTTAAAAATATTAAGAGCAAACACTTTCAATCTTAAAATTCAATAGAGACAACGCTCTTTTAATATCATCAATATTACATCAATTCTTTTAAAAGTCCTCTATACAGAAAGTTCTGCCCTGTTACCAACTTTAATAAAAAAGTTTTAAGTGATTCAATGAGTTTAATAGATCTGGCACTGGATTAATATATTTGTACAATAGGTCCAAAATCAAACTTCTCGCTATTTTATTGTTGTCTTTGCATATCAGATTATTCTTTATATAAAAAATTGCAGTATTTCGAATATATATATATAAACCATTTACCCTAGATTGTTTTAGATATCCATAACAGATACCTATTAAAGATAATAGAGCTCTGCTAAGAAACCAGAATATACCTTACCAATTTCTTACAAAAGTAATTGTTAACCAATATATTATTTCTGATATTTATAGAATTATGCTGTAAGAGACCTAATAGAAAAAACGCAAATTTGTATAGTTTCAACTTGCCTCGATTATTGATAAGTACCTGAAAATAATATGCTTATCAAATCAAATAGATTTTCTGTTTTGTTTTGAGTTAAGAACACATTGATATGGTTTTATTTTTTGTAATTTTTTATGTTTGCATTTATTACTAAGTTTTTATTATGCACACTTAAGAGCTATTCACAATTGTTGTCGTATTCAGTATCGTATTCTTCAAAGTGATTTTCTACTCAATTCGTTTTCGATTTAAGTTTTCTTTTGGTTTAATTTGTATAGAGACAGACATCGAATCGTTAAGCTTAGAATTTATACAATTTGCTTTGTATTTACATTTTGTTTTGTGGTGTGATAGATCTTTGAGTTAATTACGCGTATTAGAACTTGGTTTTAGTTTAATCAACTGCTTCAAGTGCTTGTGTTTAAAACATAATACAACCTTTAGTTTATAGTTTATGTTGCCTTCGTTTTTTTACGTTTGCAGGGTATCCAAAGAGCGGACGTGGGCGTGGATATGAAAGTGGATGGAGCTGTGGGTGTGCTGTATGGAAACCAAATAAAAGCTTCTGCTATGAAACACGCTATACAGCTATTTAGGCTAACCCTATATATTTATAGGGTATACGATATTTGTTGTTGTTGTCGTCGGTCATCTTAATGCTAGAAAAAACTAAAGCTAAAACTAATCAACAAATAAGCGTGTGTTACTAACTCGTAATTTGTAATACAATGTTGCGATCGATCGATCGATCGAACGATCTGATTGATCATTAATCAGTAGCTGACAAAAATGTTTGTTTAATGTTTGAATTACTTTATTTATAATCAATAATTTGAACTACGTGTTCGGGATGTGCGATCGCCATTCTCTCTCTCTCTCTCTCTCTCTCTCTCTCTCTCTCTTACTATACGAAAATGCTTATCAGCAAAAGGTTCGATTTAAATCGATTCGTTTCGCATCGATCGATAACTTAACAAGAACTTACAATATTAGTTTGAAAATATTTTATTGTCACAAATTGAAAGAGAAAATGTTTTTGTTATTGTGATTTACTTAAATGAATCCTTAGGGTTTTAAATGCTTGACAATACCTTTATTTTGCAGTCGGTAATTGAATAGGAGGTACGCCTTGAAGTAATCCACATGTTATATCCAATACTGTTATTTCGAATATGTAAATCATTTTCATTAAGTTTAATATTCCCGAAGTAATTTTAAATATACAATCAAATATGAATAATAATAATAAACTTCATAGTGTAGTCTGTGGTTGACTGATTAACAAATTTAATGATAATCAATTTGAAAAACCTATTCCTGAAAATCTATTGGATTAGTAGAAGATTAGTTCGCGAAAATGGTCTTATCTTATTTCGTAGTTCTTCAATTGTAATTATATACTAAATTCCTATCCTTATTTAGATTTAATAAAATTTGAAACAATAAAACTGAATATGTACAGATTTAAGTTTCTTTTTAATTCATGAAATGTCAAATTGTTAAAAAAATTTTCTTTCTTTTAAATCCCGAAATAATGTTATTTAATATTATCAAATACAAATGTTTAAAACAATTTCCCTTTTTCAGTAAATGTAAATAAGAATTATATTAAAGTTTTTGAAAATATTTAAAATATCTATTATTGAGAAAATTTTGGATTGATTTTCGATTGAAACGGAGATATGTTTTAATTTGAAAGTTGAATAGGGTGTTTATGGTATGTGTAACTACGATGTAAGTCCCGATATAATAATGTAAATCTGTTTCAATCGAAGTTTAGCTGGGACTATATACAAATCAAGGAAAATAGGAATAAAAACGTTATTGGAAACCCTTTTTCACCTGTGGACTATTTCAAGGCGCCATTTACCAGATCTATTTAGTTGACCACCTGCTGGGGCGGCCACTGCGAATTCGGATGCGGATGCGAATGTGGATGCGAATGCGGATGCGGATTCGAGTGCGAGTGCGAGTGCGAGTGCGAATGCGAGGCACGATGCTGCTGCGGCTGCTGCAACGGATGCGAGTTATTTGAGGTGGAAGCTGATGAGGCCGCCGCCAGTTGGCGTCATAGATAAAACTCTGGGGAGCTCTGACTATCTGCGCCGCCGGCGGCGCCAGCGCTCGTTCTCTGCTGCTGGAGGCGCTGCATTAGGCTATCGCGCTCCTGGCAGACACGCGAATACTCCAGCTTCAGTCGATGCAGATCCTGGTTGAGCTGGCGATTGGCTTTCTCCAGTTCGTGGCGTTGATGCAGGCGCTTGGAGCGACAGTTCTGGGCATAGCCACGATTCTTGAGCGTGCGGCGCTTCTGCTTCAGCCGGACCACCTCCTCGCGCGGGCAGCCATGCAATCGCTTGTTCAGCTCCCGCACCGTCAAAGTGGTCAGCATGTCGTCGTTGATGCAATCCTCCAGCGTGGCATTGCTGTAGGCGCCGGAACAAGTGTGAGGCGAGTTATTGGAGCTTCTCGTCGAGCTGGCCGAGAGCGGTCGATACGGCTGCAGAATCGATCGCACACAGCCCCTTGAGTTGGATGCGCTGCTAGCGCCGCTGCTGCTGCCCGCCGAGGGCACATGAGGTCCACAATTGGAGATTGTTGGATACAAGTTGCTGGGTGGAACACTGACGGGGCCCGGGCTGCCCGCGCACGAGTTGGCTGAATTGGAGTGCATATTGATGGGCAGAGCGTGCTCCAGATTGTGAAAGTGCGGATGTGTGGGATGTTGTGCCTGTGCCATATGCCTGATGGCATGGTGATGATGGCTCTGCATCAGTGGATGTCCATGATGATGTGCAGCCGCTGCAGCGGCCTGCATGGCATATTCGCGCTGACGCTCCCATTCTTCGGCCTCTTCCTGAGAGCCCGGACAGGCAAGGGGGCGCAAGTCCAAGGGCTGTTGCTCGGCGCGCATTGAGTTGGGTAGCCACATCATCTCCTGGCTAAGACCCACTGTGGCTACATTGGCGCCCGAGTTGCTGCTGCGTCCGGCATGATAGTGATGGGCATATGCCTGGCTGGGGCAGCTGCTGCTGCCGTTTGGGGAGCCCACCACTGGCGGCGTCTCCGGTGGAGTGGAGGGCACGCCCACAGGTACCGTCGAAGCAGCCGCAGCAGCGGCAGCGGCAGCTGCAGCAGCTGCCGCGGTTGTTGTCGTCCCGGAAGTTGTATTGACCAATACCGCTTGCCCGCCCATCGGACCGCCTACATAGCCCTCCGGAGGCGGACTGAGTGGCTGCAACCGGCGCTCATCCATGTGCCACTGATGGTGGCCTGAAAAGGAGCGCAGCTTAATGTGCGATACAGATGCCAAAGGCTCAGCGCCGACTGCCGCATCCGGAACTGCGATAGGGAGCGGCAAGGGCAGTGGCAGAGGCAACGTGTCCGTTTCATCATCTGCTGGCGGCTCATTTGTCCATTTTATGGGCTGAGGCGGACTATGATCCTCGCGCTTCACATGACCGATGGCGGCGGCGGCTGTCGTGGAGATAGTCACAGGTGTTAGAGCTGTCACAGTGCTATGTGTGGTATTGTTGACCCCCAAGTGATCCAAGTTAAACTCCTGCACGTATGTGTCAGCAATGGTGGGATCCTCCATTTTCATTGGATCGCCGGTTCACATGCAACTCGATTGTGGGGTGGGATTGTATACGGGGTATATCAAGGGGCACACTCACACACACACTGGTCACACTTTTTATTGTGGGTCACACTGCACTTGACTTGGCTTGGCTTAAGATCGAGAAATAATTCAAATTTCTATAAACTTTTTTGTCAATTTTTGAAAATTTGGCGCGCCCGCATTAAATTTTTGTTTTATGTTTTGTTATATTCTGTTATTTGATTTGTTTTTATTATTTGCCGCTCGCTGCGTCCAGTTTCAAAGAGTTAACGGTGGCGACTGAGTCTGAGTCTAGCCGCATGCTCGACTGCAGGGTGGCCCTGGCAGCGGAATGGCCGACGCGCGCATCGCTTTTAGAGTGTTCATATGTATAGACGCAAACTGTGAGTGTGTGTGTAGCTGTGTGCTAAAGAGCAACAGCAGTAGCTCCACACACTGTAAGCTTGCACGCCATTCGCTGTTGAGCTCCTGCTGGAATTGCCAGCTTGGCCACATCAACAACAACGACAAGCGATGCCAGTGAGAGAGAGCGAGCATAGGGCACCCTTTAACCGTTAAAGTTATGCGCGATTTGCCTGTGGCACTCTCTCGTGTATATGTGAGAAAGCCTCTCATCTGATGCACAGTGTCACCCTGATTAATGAACATGAATGAAATATTTTACATTGAAATGATAATGATTAATATGTAAATGTCTTTTTCGTGCATAAGTACTTTTGAAATATATATTTGAACTATCGGCATAAATAAAATGGTTCAATAGCTATATATTATTAGTTTGAACATAGTTGTATTTTATTATATTTTCATATACATATATTTAACTGTGTCAAAAGCAGCGAGCACTTAGTCTGCATTCTGTGTAGTTATTCTGCTCTATTGACCCACTGTAAAGGAATATACACGAGCATATGTAAAGCTGCGCTCTGCTCTTTCGTTCGCAGCTTCGGCTCTGTTTGCTCGATTTTTGTTTACTTCGTCGCATGTCGTCGTTTGCTTCGCTTTTGGTGGTGGCTGTTGTGGAGCTTGTTGTTGTTGGTTTTGTTCTTGAAGTAGGCGTTTTTGAATTGCCATGGAGCGCATAAAAAATGACACACACAGATGTACGTACACTCAGTGAGCATATAGCGATTGAGCACTCATACAAACTCACCTTATGCTGCCACGGCTCCGCCCACTTGCTGCTGCTGACCATGGTTTGTATGTGTGGATGTTTGTGTGCGGGCATATTTATGAGAAACTACCACAGAAATTCCTACATAGCCGACTTTCCAGTTGGCTCGCCAACGTTCCGGTTGGCGCTTGCATTGGAAAAGTAGCAGGGCCCCGTGTTGAGCCATCCTGTGGGGCCATCCACTGTTTCAGTTTTCCAGTGCATAAGTCAATGGGAGATACTTTAGTGTTGATAAGTTGCTCGATTTGTTTTGCTTGGAAGTCTTTGCAAATACATACACACATGTATGTGTATATCTATATGTATCTATGTATATTGTAGCAGTATTTGTGTTTGCTTTGGCTTGGCTTCTGCAAAGGATTTTGGACTGAACTGCACAGGTGCATTCTGCTGACTCGTCAGCAAATTTGGTCGCTACCACAGAGTTGGCCCTATTGCTTTTGGACATGGGCGCTGAGTGTTGTTTCTTCCGCTTGTTATTTTTATTATTTTATAATTTAAATTTAATTCTATTGCTGTGCAAATGTTTTGGCTACCCGACACTAAACAGATTTGATGTTTCGCTTATGTAACATTGTTCTCAGCTCTGGGCAGCTGTTAGCTCTGGGATGCCATGTCTTTTATGGTCAAAAACTTTCGTGCAACAAGTTTTTTTTGTTGGGTGGGGCTTGTCACTGAGGGACTCTAAATTTGGGCTAACAATTGAATGATAAAATGCAAAAGACACTTAAAGTCAGTTGGGATCGGGTTAAATTTTGTACCGTGGAATAAGGGAGAAATATTTTTGATTTGTGTCTAGAAAGTTGGTCGACTTTGCACATATACATAGCCTTTGCTTTATATGAAACATAATATTAAATTTTATGTCAGTGGCCAGTGTCGCAAATGTTCGTAAATTAACAATAGCTGCAAAAATTTACTTAAACTTAAGACATATGAAAAATAATATAATTTCGAAACTTTTGCTTTCTTCTCGTATTACAACAAAGAAATTTTTTAAAACAAATTTGCCAACAAATTAATGAAAAAGAAAATCTATTTATAGTCTATCGTTAGATTGGGTTTTATCAAAATTCAGTTATTTCACGATTATTCTAGATTTACAGCTTTAGTAATATTTTGTAGCATCGAAATTCACATATTTATGCCTACATTTATGAATAATCAGAAAACGACTTATATGCTAGTAGGTTTATGGCTATTACGATTTGTATATGAATATCTACTATATATAGAATGCAAAAATAAATTCATATATTTTTTATGGTAGGTATACAAGTTTGGTAATTCTCGAAATCGACAATATATCAAATACATGGATTTATTTTAGGTAGCAATTCTAATCTCCTATTTGTGGAACTAAATACACAAGTGAAATTTTTCAAGCATCCTTATCCTTATTCTTAACTGGCTTTCATCTGAGGCTTCCCAACTATCTGCCCAACTACACACAAAAATCTGATATTCCGCAAAAAACTGACCACAAAATCTATGTATGCGGTTGCTTAATTCTGGAATCTTACCCTTAGACCAACAAAATCACAGAACTCCCGTCTCGATTTCTAGTAGAGTGGGCGGGAAGCAAGTGTGCCCCGCCAGCAGGAAACATAAAACAAAATCAAATCAACTGCCGCCTCGCCCAATTCATGCACCATATCACACACATACACACAGACTCGCAGTCTCGAGAAGGGACAGATCCTTTGGGCTTGGATGGCTGTGCCATTGAAGCTTGTCAAAATTAAATTGAACACAATCGAATTATACTCCTGAGCATGCTCCATTTGATTTTTTTCTCATACCCTGTGGTGCTGCTGAGATATGTTAGATAAGTGCGAAGTGAGTACAGACAGATAGTGAAAAAAATCAAATTATTATCTTAATTATAATTGGACTTAGCTCCGGAGACAGAGAATTATTAACAAGAAGAAATTACGGCGATAACATTAAAAAAAAGACTTAAACGATAAAAACTAGATTGAACACGTAACACGGACTACGAGATCAAATGTGCGTATTTTCCAAAGTAGTCCATCAACGGAATAATTATTCATTTATAAAAATAATATATTGTGTTAGATGTGTTTTAAATATAAATTGATTAGATTTAAATATAAATATAGTTGTATTGGAAGTTGATCAACTAATTTAATTTTAAAAGGGTTTTTTTACAGATTTTATTCCATAGTAAAACTCACTTTGCATTGGAGCGTTTTACAAATTATTACAGGACATCTAGCTGTCGACTCACACGCCCGTGGTGTAATATTTAGCGTATTTTGGTTCTTTCCTCACTTGGCCCCATTTTACTGGCTCCGAGTGTCTCGCCTCTTTCGTCCGGGCTGCCGCGATTTAAGAGTTGCGGTTAGCACTGTGAACGAGAGTCAACATTTATTTCGGTTGCGGATAGACAACAATAACTGCTGCACTTATCCATATTAAAAAGGGTTAAAGGTGTGCAAATATTTGCTGGCGGCCAATTAAAATATTTTAATAATCAGCGCAAGCCGAACCGACCCGGAGTGCCAAACGGTATTCCGCAGGCTAACGAGGCCAAGCAGGTGGCAGTAAGCAGGAGGCAGGCGGCAGGCGGCAGGCGGCAGGCGGTGGGACACGTGTGTCCTTTTAAGGGAGAAGGGAAGCCAACTGGCAGAGATATGGCAATTGTGGGCTTTGCTCTGTTATTTACTCTTTGCCCTCATGCCGAAAAGTATGCTGTGCTTTTTATTGAAGTTCATTCGTAACTAATTCGCGGCTCAAGTACCGCGACTTTTGTCTATTGACTAAGTCCTGAAACTAGAGATGCGAGCGTGAGCGAGGAATGCAAACGAAAAAAATTAGTTAATTAAAATTCAAAATAAAAGTGAACAATCAGAGCATCCACGATATTATGTACGATACAATAATGTTAAAAATAAAAATATATATAAAAAAAATTGTTATTATATATATAGGTTCATATAGAGCTCTTCACTTTGCTTAATTCATGGTGCGTGTCTCTTCGTGTCACGTCACAGACTCATCCCTTTCGTATGCCCCATTTGCAGATGTCTGGTTGTGCACTCGTATTTAATCCATTGTCATGAGACATATCCAGTCAAATATTTGCATGACGAGTCCCTTTCAATTGCATTTCAATTGATTCCCGCATATTACGTGAAATGTTTATTACGCCGGATTAGGCAGCATTAAAAGCGCATAGTTGTCGCCCTCTCTGCTCTGGCTGGATCTCTACTCTGCCATATGATGTGATTGACTGTCAGCCAGTCAACCACGCACACACACGCGCACACAGATTCTCTTGCTTCATCTCGTGGAGTGCAGTTTAAACATGACGAAACATCGTGTTTTATCACAAATCATTTCTGGTAAATCAACAGAAAATCGATTGACAGTGTTGACAGCAAAATACAAAAAAAAAAAAAAAACATGTATAGCTTCCCCCTTCTTGTTGCCCGCCCTCCAATCGTTCCTCTTCTTTCCACGTGATGTGCAACCAGCGGGTTGACTCGCCGCGACGGGGCGGATTTAATGAGAAAGAATGTGAGGGATGCGCACTAATCGAGGGAATCGATATTGAATGAATTTATTTATCCAAATATACACGCTCTACACGGCCTAGCCGTTGTTTCGCCTGCTTAAGCACCTCACAACTGTTTTAAGTGCTAAACACAACTGGAAAAGCTGATGTTATGCATTCTTTCAGATGGCAGATACATATGGATTCTACCTAACAGTTATACACAAGCAAAAAGTACGTGTTGAAAACTTATACATGCCCACAATCCAAGCTTCTAGCTTACAGAGACTACTTTCTATTTGGGATGTCTTTAGCCGTATAATTTTGGGTTCCATTTCAATTAGAAACTGGAAAACCTCTTAAAAAGTGGGTGCGACTGAAGACTGGCGTGAGTTTGATGAAAGAATGGATATGAAATGAGACTGGCAGGTGCTTAAGCTGGACTCCTTTGGGCATGCATATGAAGGAATACAGAGTAACAAAAGCAAGTGATAGTAGAATGGAGTTTATTTTAGAGGTAAGGAGCATATCTCCACATAGACTAAACTAATACTTGGATTGATTAAATAAAAAACACGGTATGCAATAGCATAACTGCAATACGGCTATTATTTTTCCGCATTGATTGAAAGCCTGCTATGTTGTTCAGCTGACGTAAGGTTATTCATAACTGTATTATATGATTATTATATGGTTGGTATTTGTCAACTTCATCGGTTATTTGTTAAAAGCAAACCTTCCTTTTAACAAGTATTTCTTCTTCCTCTGCAATACGCAACAAGTTTTCATTTTTTCCGATATTATTACAGACAATAATACTTTGCTTAGAACCTTAACCCAAACCATTTTTGCCACACTTCAAAAATTAACCATATTATCCGAGGGCCACATTTGTGGGCGTTACCCAGCTGTCAAGTTGTCAGTTGACTGTGACATTTGGACGTGGTGTACCTGACCTTTTCACACACATACACATAGAGAGCGAGAGAGAGAATGCGAGAAAGAAAGAGAGGGAGGAGCTGCGCTTAGAGGGTTGACAACCCTAAACTGTGTGCGTGTGTGCCTTGCGCTTTTGTAATTGTTTCCTAATGAGCTCTATAACCACTCGTCAATTCGTCACCCCGTCACCCTATCAACCCGACTGAACGCTCACCCCTCAAGCCCAGACCCTCTCCCCGATCGACCCATCCATCAAACAACGTCGTTGACTATCATCGGGCGCCATTTATCATTCACTCATTGGCACAGAATCCAACAAAGCACAATAAATTATGGCCAGCGATTTGTAAACAACATGAACTCAGACAAACTGACCTCGGCTCGGGGCATACTCGCTTGTAGACCCTGCATTGTCCCATAAATAAACTGCCGGCCAAATATAATTGAAATATTTGCTGTCAATGTGTTGACTTCCGCTCGGGCTCCGGCTCCGGTTGTGGCTGCGTCACGGGCACGGTCTGACTCTCGTTCGGAGGCGAAGGTGTAAACTGTATAAATGGCGGCTCGTTATGACCCTGGTTAACACACACACGCAGACAGTCCGCAGCAGCATTCTCATCGATGCTTGATAAATGTTCGGAAAACGTATCTCCTTACAGCTGCTCTACACTTTGGCTGGGGACGAGTCTTGTGCGTGCCGAAGCAATCATTATGGCTTAACTTGGAATTAAGTTATAAACGCTGCTGAGCGAAGAGCACTTCAATGAGGTTATTTTCATTATGTCATACTCAAGAACATCAATCTACTATGAAACAGACTAGTTTAAATTTGATCTTAAAATGAGAGTAAATTAAATTGTCATATTTTTACTCGATCGATCATGAATTCTGAGCGATTAGACGCGATTATGAACTGCTGAAATATCCTTATATATTTAACGATTCAAAAATCAATTCCAATTCTCATAGTGTAAAGTACAATAAATATAAAAAATAAAGACAATCCGATTGTAGATAGATTGGAAACTTAAATGACTTTTTATCAAAGTAGTAGGATTATAATTCTTTACTATAACAATGTTCTCTAAAGAAATTCAATTTTCTACCTCAATTCAAGCGTTTTGAGCATCTATATCTACTATTTGCATAATTAAAACAAACTCCATTATAGATATTCAGATATTTTCTTTAAGAAACTTTCTCTACGACTTCTGCATGTGACATATGTTGCATGGAAGTGGACTCCTGTTTCTCCTGCCCCGAATACCCTTCCTGGATACCCCGCCTCAGCTATTGGCGATAAAATACAAATAAATTTTGGTGTTCGGCAGCCATAAATTATATTCAGCTCAGCCTGGCCACACGTGTTACACGGAGCTGAGCTAATAACGGGACACTGTCCGTCGATGTGCCCCACCCCACCTATATCTGGATGTAGGCTATGTTTTCTATCTGTTCTTTGTATATATTTCTAGCTCTCTCTCTGTCTTTCTCTGTCTCTGTCTCACACACTTACTTTCTTCTCTGTGCATATTTGTGTTTTTTGGGCTACTGTTCCCCTATAAATATTTGAGCAATAAATTTTTTAATCTTGTCGCTTTAATCGCCCAAATGGCGCACACATAGAGATTATGTCCGGGGCTCAAGTCCGGCGACCCCTTGGCACCAAAATCAATTTCACTATCGTTTGACCAAGGCCGGGGGTGGAGTCAAATGGGGTATTGACTTTTTTACTAGCCAACTTCCGTTGCCCAACAAAAAAGTCAATAAAAAAAAAAAAACACAATATATATATATATATATACATATGTATGGGTGTGAGGCGCAAAAATATTTATGTGCTGTGCTGCATTTGATGCGTTGTCCAACACTCAATTACCATAACGGCAAATCACGGCCAGTGTTGTCCATCTCGCTCTAACGCATTTTTGCATATAGAACACATAAAACGAACATGTCGTAGAGAATTTCTTGACCGGAACCAATTTTCAATATGGACCGGTTTCCTCATTTGTTTCCTCGATTCTTTGTTGTTGTTTTTTACTTTTTCTTGGTTGGCAAATGTGCGGCGCATTAAATTTTATGGCATATGCCAGACCTAACCTCAAAGTGTTTGGCTGCCCTAACCTCATAATGGATATTTGTGCATTTTGATTAATATATGCCAAGCGTCGTAATGGATCATAAGACAAATTGCAAATGTGTGGAATGTGCTAAATTTAGACGAATGGTGTCCTTGAGTCGAGGGTACGAAGTATGCATCGAACAATTGAAGCAAATAGATAACATAACCTTAGGATTAACAAGTAAGAAGGCTTTAGTCGAGACTGCTCGACTAGGAGATACCCTGAACTCTCCAAGCTGATATTTTAATCATTCTGCATTTCTTCTATGCACACATACATACACACATATAAAAACGCGCTCTGCTAACGGCACAGTAAGCAGCGACTGCGCTTCGGCTGCGCTGCAGTGTGGGCAATATTATTCTAGACGTACAATCTTAATGAAACGTTCAGAACATAATCATAATGCTCAAAATGCGTTTTTTATAAATTGGGGCGTGGTATCCAAAATCTGTAAATTACAAAATTTGTGTATTAATCATACGTATATACACAGTAGATCTGAAGTCTCGAGATCTAATAATGTTCAAATGAGGCTGAACAAACAAAATCAATTTTTCGATTATTCTCGAGCGACGCACTCATACAGGCGGACGGACAGGGCTATATCGACTCAGCTCGTAGTCCTGATCAAAAATTTATATAGTTTATGGGGTCTGCGATGATTCCTTCTGCCCGTTACATACTTTTTCACAAAACCATTATACTCTAATTTCCCATTTTCAATGGGTTCGGGGCATAATGATGGGTGTTTTGCTCAACAAAGAGCTATATTTGTTGCTCGAAGAAGAGTTCTGGACAATTTTAATCAAGAACATGAGGTCTGAGTATATACGATGGGCTTCAATAAAAAATATAGCTAAAAAACTTTACGATTATTATAATTATACAACAATACCTACACACTAACGTTAGTTTTTTGGTAACAACTAAATATTTTAGGATTAAACTGATATATAACTTAGACTCAGACTCAACTGACTGCATAATCTTCGTTCATTTATTGTAACTAAACCGTCTGTTTCTGGACCTTAACAATTGAGATTATTATTAGGAGTGACTGTGCTTATTTACGACATACAATAATTTACATATATTAATATATATATGTTTGTTCTTTATTTGATATGCTCTGAATTTACCGATTATTATAAGTAAAAGTGAGATTATATCAAATGCTTCTGCTTTCGTAAGCCTATGAAAGTATTCAAGTTTTCAAATCCAATTCGTTTAGTTAAAAATAAAGCCCAACTGTTCCATATCCTTTTGAATTTCGCTTTCCGCGCACTGTTGCTCCAGCATATCTAGCCAGAGCATATAGGGATAATCGTCATGTAGCCCGCCATACCTGGGATAAATATGAAACATTTCAGTTTTAGTAAATTGATTATATTCATGGAGAATATACCGCTTGGGCAGGTGTTCTGGATATATATGCTTATGCAGGGAGCTCATATCGCTGCCATGTATATAGAGTTTTTCTCGCATGGAGGCGTTGAGGAAAGGCTTAAAGATCTTAAATGCCGCATTAAAGAGCCAGTTCTGATTGACTATGTGCAGGGCCGCAGTGCGCAAGGGCATGGAGGTCTACAGTATACAGAATATAGAAATGGAGGTAGGCAAATGCATGTGTTACATTATGTTCCAAAACTCTCACTTACTACTAGCAATGCAATCATCTTCTGTGCCACGCTGGGACTCAGGTGCAGCAGATGCTCGAGTGCAAGGTCCTTTAGATCAAATATGGCCACGCCGCCCATTATCTGGGAGATGGGCTCAAGGGAACCCAGTTCCTGCAGAATTATAGTTGCGCGAAATATGTCATCCACAGTCACGCGATTCGGTCGCCAGCGACCGAACCGATAGATCAGTATGCGATGTCCCAATTGATCGCGATATGGCGTCACAGTCAATATATCATCGTCGCCCAGATGACGCAAGTCTAAGGGACGCACTTTCTCATAGTATTTTTTGTTATCCTCGCGGAATTTGTAATAGTTGCAAAGCTGTTTAAGGGGGATAGTCGGGCATTAAATGACAAATCGAACAGCTAGTATAGTAAAGCCACTTGTCTAGTCATTAGGTCTAGTCATTAGTCATAGGTATCAGGTATTTTTATTACCCGTAGCGCCTTATCATTATCTTTTTATAAGAAATTCAGTAAATATTCTATTACAGGTATCTCTATAAGCCACTCAACCACAATTAACTTATTCTGCAGGTAAACCCACCAATCTGTAGCTATTCTCTATTTTCCAATAGCGTGTACGTAGAAACTTTTGCAGGTAATTGTCATCGTTCCGATGGGGCTGACAATCCTTGTGCTCTATTGAATACAATTTTTCGTTAGTGGTGCAGACGCGCATACATATTCGCAAGTCTGTTTATTGGTATATACTTATATACATACCCAATATATAATTGCGAAATTCTTCGATTTTTTCCTGATTGGTCTTCGGGCATTCTCCTTGCTGCTCAGCTATGATGCGTACGGCGTCTGGTATTTCCTCCTCCGTAATGTTCAACTTGTGCTCAATGGCGGGCATTTTTCGACCGGTGCTACCCTCGGCTGAGGCCTATAAGAGGAACAGACGGTCAGAAATATGAGTAATATTAAACTGCATACTGCATACATTTGTTAGAGACATATGTAACTTTATTTTGTATATACATATAGTGTTTAGTCACTTTACAGTTGAAAAAAAAAGATAAGTTTAAAGGGTTTATGAACTAGAAGTTAATTTTGTCATTTCAAATGATTAAATTGTTCAATACAATTTATATACTTTGCACAGTTTAAATAATAATAACCAATTTTCAAATTAACAAATTAAATGACAATTACAATTTTACAATATATCTAACTAAAACTAATCGTTTCGCTCTGTTATACAATATTGGTCGGCCCGCTGTCATAGCTAAGCCAACCCTTCAAACGCATACATAAATGTTGCTAGACTAAATGTTGCCAAGAGCGAATGTTGCCAAGCTTAAATGTTGCTGAGCTCTCAGCCCTGCCAAAATTTGGTTAAGCGCTTACAAGCAATACTGCTCTTTTGTGCTTCAAAGCTCCAAGGAGATTTGAAGATATATATTCCGCTACTATTTGAAAAATAATGCCTCAAAATGTTCCTAGTTCTAATATTGCTAAATCAAATCTTAAAATGATAGGCATTTGGACTGCTTCTTGCGAGCGTTAAACAAACTTGAACTGCATATCACTTGGAGTTTTTTTTTGTCAGCTGTACAAATTAGCGTCACGTTAGAGCACAGACCCAGATATTTTGTATTTATCCACACTTATTTCATTGTGAGCAATATTTTTCTTTTCACTGGAACTCAACCTGGAACCTTATATTATAGGCTCGTTCCATTAAGTGGTTTTCGAACGATTCGTATTAATTATTTTATTTTATTTAGTTAAGGTTAGGCAGAGAGTATCCTTCATGATCGAATGAACTTAATTATATAAGCTGCTCAATTGGAAACTAAACTATCCCGTAAGTTTTACCATATTTGACATAAGTATTTTATGCTTCGATCGTTCAGCTACATTCGACTTCGAATTGGAAACTGAATTCGACGCCCATACAGTTCATAAATACAAACAAAGAAAATGCGCGATAACAAAATGAGCCAGCGACTACGACAGCGATTATCGCTTTAACCCAGTGAAAGAAAGTCTCTTCCTGAACCCAAGCGAACTCGATTGCTCAATGGCCCTGATAAGAAGCGTCTCTGATGTCACTCGAAACTTTCATGCCCTGAGCCCATGGAAGATGTGAAATCGGGTTGTAATAATTCAGTTAAATGTGTGTAACGGGCAAAAGGAGGCGTGGCTGACCCCATAAAGTTTATGTATTCTTGACCAGGGCGACAGCTGTAATGATTTGGCCCTGTATGTACGACCGCCCGCCCATCCGTGTGTGTGAACGCGTCGATCTCAGAGCTCAGGTCTATAGATTTGTTTTTTTTTTTTTTTTTTTATGTATGCATATACATATATTTCTCGGTATATTGTCATCTTTTCAGCAATTACAAAATGTGTAAAGATAGATCGACTCGTTTTGCATTACAAAGTGCATTTGGCTAAACAAAAATTAAGTAAACTAAAGTACATAGTATGTAGGCAGATGCTTGTATTAGCTAGATAAAATAGCACCCTAGATGCGAAAAAATATATTATATGTATTTGAAATATACTATTTGCTTTGGAAGCTGTAAATTTCAGTGTTAAATCAAAAATGTCGAAAATTGGACTTTGTTTCTTAAGCGCAGCTTGACTACAGCAAAAGCAGGAATTTTGGGAATTTGGCTCGGATGCTTAGGGTTCAGAGATGAGAGTATCTCTTAGTCTGCTTTCCCACTTATTTCATTCAAAACAAACAATAATATTGTTATCGGGAGTGCCCGACCAGAATTTACCCTGAACCTCGGCTAATCTGCGTTTCCAGACATTCTACATAGCACGTATCAATGCATGTACAAAAGAAAACAAAAGCTGTACACGTACGATCCGAACTTGCACCTCTGCAATCAAATAGTATTTTATTTATCAAAAGATTACCAATTGACTTGGCGTTTTTATTATTTATGAACTAGTTTTTGGATTATATTTCGCTTTATTTATATGTTTTTTATACTAATATTATAATATTAATTATTAATATTAATATTATATTTTATTGTAAATAGTACCACTTACTAAATAAATAAATAGATAAATAAATAAATTTGTATGTTGATTTGAATTTTATCTACTTAAATATTAGTGAATAAATTTATAATATGTATACGTAATAAATTATGGTTAATAGTTATAGGGGGGAACATAAAAAAGGAGGAGAGAAACCCCGTGATGTGATCGCCCGCGTAGACTCCGCACACTTTATTCTAATGCCATAGTAATCCAAGCTAATTTAAAATATGATATTAAGGAAAGGCTTCCTTTTGGATATTATGCATATTTATTTTGACTTGGTGACTTTTTAACGTCACTGTTGATGTTTGAAAATTTTAAAATTCTTTATTTTCGACCCCGTAGGGGCTTTATAATTATTTCTAGGTCATGGATTATAGTTTTAAATCTTCTGATGTTATGGACATACATGATTTCAAGAAGGTAAAATAAGGCATATATGAAAGACTTACAGTAAAGAAAGTTTTCAGCTATAATAATTTTATAAGTTTATAATAGTTACGTTTCAATACTTTCTAAAATTAGAATTTGAAAATCATGTTTCCACTGAATCAATTATATTGTCAAAGATCAAATTGGATTGAGGGTCTAGGGAATAAATGACTGGCCGAAATAGAATCTGTCTAATACACCTAAAGGATGAAAGTAACATTTGAAAACTTTCTTTGCTGCAAATTACGAGCTCGAACAGTTCTGAACACTTTTGCGACATAGCAAAGATCAGTGGCTTAAAGATCACATTCAGATTTTCGTAATACGAAACAAAAATATATAAAAATCAAATTACGTGATTGTTTGTTTGTTTGTTTGTTTATTTGTTTGTTTCGAGCATTATTGAGTTACAAATTCCATGTTGCAGGCTCAAATTGCAAATATTGACTGACGCGCCTAATTGTGAAGATGAACTAAAATGCACTTGGAAAGAAAGTTCAAGGTGAAGTGAAATAAAATGCACTTGGAAAGAAAGTTCAAGGTTTAAAATGCCGTTATTCTGGAAATAAAATGTGAATTATGACTCCATTTGCTGAGTTTAAAGTAAAGCAACACTGAATGCAGTCATTTTATATTTTCGAATATAATATATACTGTAAAGACCAGCTTAACCAGACGAAGCCAAGTACCAGTTAATTATTTGTAGAATTTGGATTTTTTGTTGTTAAATTATTGGTGTTTATCGCGCACAAAATTTCTTCTGATATTATCGTTTTATTATAATTACTTTATACTCTTGATCGTTATCGAAGCGAAGCAACTGACAACTCGAAATGTTGCACTAAGACTGACTCAAAGATCGTCTAGAACAAAATGTTTTATTCGCCAAGCACTCTAAAAAAGACTCAGAAACCCGGTTTCATGCCTGCCAACGAGTTAAATTAAAATCATCAAGTTCTATATGCGGTAAAATGTTACTTAACAACGAAGAATGTGTACACTACTTTATTGAAAAAAAAAAAAAAAAAAATGCATTTTACAATTATTTGTATTAATAAGTGAATTATTTAAGGATTTACTTTACTGAAACAATTTCACTTGATAAGGTAATTGTAAATTAAATAGATTGCATTAAACATGTAAAATATTTCAATTACTTACATTTATCATACAAAGTCTCTACTCACAACTTCTTAAATGCATTGGAAACTCATTCCATGTACTGACTAGTATTCTATTCAGCTCATTATTAGGGTAACTGCATGTTAAAAGATGTCAGTGAGAGTGAAAATAATGTGTAAATACATATGTACATATGTATATGTGACATAAGCTAGCAGTAAGTCGAAAGGCTAAAGATGGAGACCAGAAGCTGATAATGATGTTTCTCATTCGTGTGTGTGTAAGTGTATGGATATGGAGACACTTTTAATAAAAGATGCTGTGCAAGTTCAATGAGCTTTAATGACGTCACGTGTGTAAGAATATACAGCTAAGTAACTGTCATGAGCGATTGCTAACAAGTCTCGCAGCTCTTATTGCTTTAAGATATTTCAAGGTATTTTGCGCATCTCTCTGATAAATCTGAGCAACAGAGGAGAAACGAGATTCAGTTGCAAGTGCAACGAACATTTTGTTGCCGCTGGTCAAGGTCAGGTGAAAAACTAGTTTGTTTTCTTTTTTTTTTCTTTTACAGGTCATTTTTATTGTAGCCGTATTTTTCCTATAATTTGCATTAATTATGAGTTATGTTGTACTAGCAGAATTTTTTTCAATTAACGGTAGATGGCTGCTAATTAACCCATGCTTTGAGAAAAATAATTTACAAAATCTACAAGTTATTAATTTTACGTAGTATAAAGCCATTAAATAATATTGTAAAAATTTAGCTAAAAAGAATATTATTTAAATATAACTGCCAGAAACGAATAGCGAATAAAATAAATTTCTGTTTGTTTCAATCTATTTATTAATCAAACAATACAAATTTACCATTGCCCTAGGTCTGGCAACATTCCTCAGAAACTTATCGATAAGTATCGAATGTAAGTCCACTGTCTGTACTGTTTGCTGCTTGGCAACGAACGACGGGTTTTCGTGTGGCTAAGAAATTTTCACAAGTCTTATTTTAATAGTGAAGTACATTTTTAATTTATTGTTTCAACCAATTAAATGTGTTAATAGTTAAGTGCTTGTTGCAAAAACGTGCAGTAAAAATCTACAAGAGCCACAACCCCATATAAATATAAAGTTCGGCGGCGGCGTCTACTGTGTGTGCACAAGTTTTGCAGTCGCTGCCGCGCGTTGTTTTAATTCGAGCGATTATCAACTTCTCAATACCAACTCCGAAGGTAAGTTGAATACTGTGAAATATAATTATCGTGAATAGTGAACGTGTTGGGAAATATTTCTAGTTATTTTATTTATTTTTATTTTATTTTGTGAAATGAATGTTTCTGCCCGTTGGCGTCGAATTTGCAAATTAAAAATGGCGCTGCCGGTGTAGATATACATATGTAATTTGTTTATGCGTAAGCTGTGTATACGAAATACCTTCACACAATACCACTAATTAAGTGCTTTAAAGGGATTAGGCAAAGAACTGCTTATTTATATTTTGTTTAATATCAATATCAAAACTCCATTAGGGAAGCCGGTACAATTGCTGCACACAGATACACACGCACACATAAAAACAAAGCGAGACACACATTGGGATAGTTTGGCTTTTTATCTTTTCCTTAAAAGTATCTTATGCGGATGTATAGCATTGCATAATACAAAAAAAAATTTCAGAATATGTATATATTAACTTCTTTCTTTTTTTCGCGTAAGCGAAGCATTTCTGAGTTGTTTTTGTTGTTGCATTAGCAGCCGGCTCAACTGTGCCGATAAAAGACAGGGTTGTTATGTATACACATGCATTGCTCGCGCCTTTTTGCATGTGTGGCGGTTACACTGCTTTAGCATATCATTAGAAAATGTATAAGTAAAAGCAAGAAATCCTAAATACTCTTGATTTTAATATATAAATTACATTGGACCATTTTGAATACTATATAACGTATATTAACCCTAACGCTTGTCGAGTTTTCTAAGCGCAAGCAAAAATTAGTAAGTTAGATTTAAACCTATAAAGAGGATAGAGCTGGTTGCTATATTTATAGATATATTTGTTTTCTTTCCGACCGACTGGTTGGAACGTCTTGTATTTCTTTGTTCCCTCTTGCTTCTACGTATGATTAATCAGAATTCTCGCTGCGGGCTTCTATTCGTAAACACACAATACCGTACCGTTATGTCATTGTTTATCTAATAATCATTTTTATGATATGTGATTTACAGCACGTGCATCATAGGAGCAGCAACATGGAGAACGGTAAAGGCGCCATGTCCATCGAGCAGATGTATCAGAAAAAATCGCAATTGGAGCACATCTTGTTGCGTCCAGATTCGTACATTGGCTCGGTGGAATTTACAAAGGAGTTAATGTGGGTACACGATGCAGAAAAGAATCGCATGGTACAACGTGAGATATCATTTGTCCCGGGTCTCTATAAAATCTTCGATGAGATACTCGTGAATGCGGCTGATAACAAGCAACGTGACAAGTCTATGAATACGATTAAAGTTGATATCGATCCTGAGCGGAACATTGTATCCATTTGGAATAATGGACAGGGAATACCCGTAACTATGCATAAGGAAGAGAATATGTATGTGCCCACAATGATTTTTGGTCATCTGCTGACTTCATCCAACTACAACGATGATGAGAAGAAAGTCACAGGTGGTAGAAATGGCTACGGTGCCAAATTGTGCAACATTTTCTCAAGCAGTTTTACTGTGGAGACGGCAACAAAGCAATACAAAAAGAGTTTCAAGCAGACCTGGGGTAACAACATGAGCAAAGCTGGCGACCCAATTGTAAGTTATACACCGACTACCCAAACTTGAAATTCAGCTATTTAAAAAAAAATAATAATTTCAGATTAAGGACTTCAATGGCAGCGACTACACACGAATCACCTTCAGTCCAGATCTATCGAAATTTAAAATGGAATCTTTGGATAGTGATATTGTTGCGCTAATGTCGCGTCGTGCTTATGATATAGCCGCTTCCACAAAGGGAGTGTCTGTCTTCTTGAATGGTACTAAGGTTCCCGTTCGTGGGTTTAAAGAATACATTGATTTGTTTGTCAAGAATACCGATGACGATGCTGGCCAGCCCATCAAAGTGGTTTACGAGGCATGTGGCGAACGATGGGAAGTTGCTTGCTGCCCTTCAGACCGTGGCTTTCAACAGGTGTCGTTTGTTAATTCAATAGCAACTACAAAGGGCGGTCGCCACGTCGATCATGTGGTTGATAATGTCATCAAGCAGCTAATTGAAGTGCTCAAGAAGAAGAACAAGAATGGCATCAGTATAAAACCATTTCAAGTACGCAACCATTTGTGGATATTTGTGAACTGCTTGATCGAGAATCCCACATTCGACTCGCAGACCAAAGAGAATATGACACTGCAAGCCAAAAGCTTTGGCTCGAAATGTACATTCTCGGAAAAGTTCATTGCCAATGTCGCGAAGGCGGGCATTGTGGAGTCGGTATTGGCATGGGCCAAGTTTAAGGCCCAAAATGATATTGCCAAAACGGGTGGCAAGAAATCCCATAAGATCAAGGGCATACCGAAATTAGAAGACGCCAACGAGGCAGGTACCAAGAACTCTATTAATTGCACACTCATCCTCACCGAGGGTGACTCAGCCAAATCTTTGGCCGTGTCTGGGTTAGGTGTGATTGGACGTAATTACTACGGCGTCTTTCCATTACGTGGTAAGCTGCTGAATGTGCGAGAAGCTACCTTTAAGCAGCTCACAGAAAATGCTGAGATCAATAATCTTTGCAAGATTATTGGCTTGCAGTATAAGAAGAAATATTTGACCATGGATGATCTGAAGACGTTGCGCTACGGCAAAGTTATGATCATGACGGATCAGGATCAGGATGGCTCCCATATTAAGGGCCTACTAATCAATTTCATTCACACTAATTGGCCGGAATTATTGCGCTTGCCCTTCCTCGAAGAGTTCATAACTCCCATTGTGAAGGCAACGAAAAAGAACGAAGAAATTTCATTTTATTCACTGCCTGAATTCGAGGAATGGAAGATGGATACGCCCAATCATCATACGTACAATATCAAGTACTATAAGGGTCTGGGTACTTCGACCTCTAAAGAGGCTAAAGAATACTTCCAGGTTAGTTGTGTACTATGTAAATTATGTTTATTGTATTTGTTTCTAATAGTTCCACAGTCACCAAATAAGTTTTTATATCTTCTGCATGTTCTACTTATTTAAATCTATCTTATTTCTGGTTGCAAGTGTCATTATTTATACTCATATATTCTTATCGATTGTCAGAAGTTTTAGAAATTCTTGATATCGATTTGCTTTGTCAAAAATATAATAAATATTCTTTAATCATTCAAAGGATATGGAACGCCATAGGATTCTGTTTAAATATGATGGTCAAGTGGACGATGATAACATTGTAATGGCCTTTGCCAAGAAGCATGTGGAGTCTCGCAAAACCTGGCTCACCAATCACATGGACGAAGTGAAGCGTCGTAAGCAATTGGGTCTGCCAGAGCGTTATCTCTACACCAAGGGCACCAAGCATGTCAGCTACTCAGACTTTATCAACCTGGAGCTGGTACTGTTCTCCAATGCGGATAATGAACGCTCTATTCCTAGCCTAGTGGATGGCCTAAAGCCTGGTCAGCGTAAGGTGATGTTTACTTGCTTCAAGCGTAACGACAAGAGGGAGGTAAAAGTGGCTCAGCTATCCGGCTCGGTGGCGGAAATGTCAGCATACCATCACGGCGAGATGTCCCTGCAGATGACTATAGTAAATTTGGCACAGAATTTTGTCGGATCGAACAATATAAATTTGCTAGAACCTCGCGGTCAGTTCGGCACACGTTTAACCGGTGGTAAAGATTGTGCAAGCGCTCGTTACATCTTCACATTGATGTCGCCTCTTACAAGACTTATATATCACCCATTGGATGATCCCTTGCTGCAGTATCAGGTGGACGACGGCCAGCGCATTGAACCCTTGTGGTATATACCTATTATTCCTATGGTCTTGGTGAATGGCGCCGAGGGCATTGGCACTGGTTGGTCCACGAAAATTGCAAATTACAACCCACGTGATATGATCACGAACTTGCGTCGCATGATTAACAATGAGGAGCCGTTGCCCTTACATCCGTGGTACAAGAATTTTACGGGTACCATGGAATATGTGTCCGACGGACGTTATGTGCACTCGGGTAATGTACAAATCCTGCCTGACAATCGCATTGAGATCACAGAGTTGCCAATTGGGGTTTGGACACAAAACTACAAGGAGAACGTCCTAGAGGTTCTCTCCAACGGTACCGAAAAGGTTAAAGCGATAATATCTGATTATCGTGAGTACCATACGGACACAACAGTGCGATTTGTAATTAGTTTCGCACCAGGAGAATTTGAGCGTCTTCGGAGCGAAGAAGGAGGCTTCCACCGCGTTTTGAAGTTGAGCTCGTCAATATCCACAAATCAGATGCACGCGTTCGATGAAAATAATTGTTTACGTCGCTTTCCGACGCCAAAGGACATATTGCTGGAGTTTTATAAGCTGCGCTTGGAATATTATAATAGGCGTAAGGATTACCTGGTGGGTCAGCTGACCGCTCAAGCAGATCGGTTGAGCGATCAGGCACGCTTCATATTGGAGAAGTGCGAGAAGAAGCTGGTGATTGAAAATAAACAGCGCAAAATGATGATCGACGAGCTGATTAAGCGTGGCTATCGTCCGGATCCCGTCAAGGAATGGCAGCGACGCATCAAAATGGAAGACGTCGAGGCGGCTGAAGACGACGATGAGGAGGAAGAGAGCGCAGTTGGTACTACCAGCAAAAAAATTAAAAAAGAAGTGGATCCCGAGAAAGCATTCCAGAAGCTAACAGAAGTCAAGAAATTTGATTATCTGCTGGGCATGTCCATGTGGATGTTGACCGAAGAGCGTAAGAATGAGCTGCTCAAGCAACGCGATCTCAAGATAGCAGAACTAGATAATCTGATGAAAAAGACGCCTAGCCATCTGTGGCTGGATGATCTCGACAATCTCGAACAAAAACTCACCGAAGTCGAAGAGAAGGAGAGATTAGAGGAGCAAGGCATTAATCTCAAACAAGCCAAGGCTATGAAGGGTCAAAAGCCGGCGGCAGGTCGTGCCAAGAAGGGTGGCAAATCAGCAGGCAACGCGGACATCTTTCCCGATCCAATTGGCGAGCGCGTCGCATTCAAAGTCACCGATGAAATTATTAAGAAATTCCAAGCAGCTACAAATACGGCCGTCAAGACAAAAGAGAGGATGACCAAAGCTAAGGCTATTAAGAAGGAGGAAACAACGGCCGACAAAGAGGTGGACGATTTTGATTTGCTCGTCGAGGGCGGGGCCCCAAAAACCTCGCCAAAGGCCAAAAAAGCTCCTAAAAAGGAACCCGCCGAGAAGAAGCCGAAGAAGCAGAACGGCGATGGGCTCAAGCAGGGTAAACTGGACTTTAGCAAGGTAAGCTAAGAGAGGCTGTTTTAAATGATCAATTAGTAATATATCTATTTTTATTAGGGCAAGAAAAAGGAATCTCTCGACAGCTCTGGTGAACTGGCCGAAGAGGTTCCTCGTGTAGAGCGTCCAGGTCGCCGTGCAGCCAGCAAGAAGATCAACTACTCCTTCCTCATTTCCGATGAAGAGGGCGAGGAGCACGATGAAACCAACAACGATAACGACGATGATATGGATGATTCGCCCATCAAACGTCCCGCGGCTAAACGTCAACGAGAAGATGACAGCAGTGGAGGAGCCAAGAAAAAGGCTGCGGCCAAAAAGGCACGCGCTTTGGATAGCGAGAGCAGCGACGATGATGTTGTTGGTGTGGACGATGACGATGATTCCGATTTCGAAGCATAAGCCATTATATATATATATATATATATATATATATATATATATATAAAAGCTTAAGTGTTACTGCTCTTAAGTAGCCGCTCGCAGATCTACTCCTGGTATCTTGTTACAAATATCTTACCAAAAAGTAATGCAGAGAGGGACGAAGAGAACACGTATGCACAGAATGCAAATTTTATTTTTAGGGCAACTACTTTAATAGGTAAAGTAAGCAGGTATTTCTTATATTGCAATGCGAAAAGTTAAAAAAAAAAAAAAATTAACAAAAAATACAGAAACCAAACCAATTAAGGGAAATTTGAAATATCATTGTAATCGATGTTCCATAAATGTATATCCCATTTTTTTTTTACACTGTTTAACAACTTCACAACATTCGATCACTTCGTAATGCAAAACCAAGCGATAATCCATCAATACAATACCGAACACTCAATCTATTATGAACACATATATATCTAAATATATAAACATAGCTTGTAGACACATACAATAACCATATTTTCAATGTAAATAAAATGTATTTTACGCAGGCATCTTTTAAAATACTTTAAAATGTGTATTAAGGAACAGGGAAAGCGTGCTACATGGGTTTTTTATTGATTATAGAATTTGTCAACCTCAATAGATTCCTATTCCAAAATAATATTCATTTTTTCGATGATATTTTTATTGTACTTATACGGACAGTTCTTTATTTATGAATTTATTTAAACTATATTTTGAAAATAAATCCTGTAACGTCTAAGTTATAATACTTTTTATTTCTACATTTTGATATGAGATATGAACATTGAGGTTAGAGTCTGCGGAATAATTCAGATATTTCTTAAACCATACGAGTTGCAAAGATGAGCTTTCATTGGAAAACTGTATCTTGTGGCCTTAGGGTAAAGAAAATTTTATTGATTTAAACTAGATACTTATTGTTTCTCGTCAAAAATGCATACAAAATGAGAATCGTAAAATATTATATTTTATATTTTGTTTTAAATACTTCGTATATTTCAACGCATGAAAACATATTTTTGTTAAAATCTTACTCTAGTGATACTCGCTAAACGTCGAGTTGATCAAGAAATGTTTTAAAGGTATTCTTAATGTTATCATTGGCAAAGCTTTCCTTCTTGATTGCCTCTCGAAGAGCGTATCGGCAGCTCTTCAGATCGTATTCGCTCTTGAATCGCTCCTCGCTGCGCAACAGGCCTAACTGGATAAGATAGTAGTCCAGGACTCGCGATTCCTGCTCTGTTTTGATGGCATAGTCAAAGGTGGCCTGATAGAGTGATATGGCCAGCTCTAAAGCAGCCGGCGACGTTTGAGCAAGATGTCCGCACTTAAGCGTCGTAAAGATAAGCAACAGCAAGTGATTATCCTCGCTGAATAGCTGTAAAGACAAATGAATTGCTTATTATCTAATTGATCGAAATTATTTATGTTTTACCTAATGCCTAAAGATCATTAATTTAGGATAATGGAATTTAACAATTGTGCCTTAGGGATTACCTAGTCTAGGCTACGAAGGGTAACTACCATATGACCCAACATTGATAATAATTTGATATATTAAGAGTCATAGAATAACTTATGAATACTAAAACTCATTTGACTTTGTCAATCCATCACTTCTTTTTGTTTGCATAATATTAATTTTCAAAATTCCTTTCATTGGGCTTTCTTTCTACCTATCTCTCGTGCTCTTACAGATATAACACTTACATTGATTATGTTGTGGAAGGCCTCTAGTTTATTATTGGCCTCCAGCGAGTCGAATTGCTGCAGTGTGCAAGGCCGTTGACTTAGGCAAAACTTTTCGGGAGTGCAGGCGTCGGCAGGCGCTTTGTTGCCATTTTTGATGGTCACATCAAAATTGTTAGTGGCCTTGTTGCAGTTGCTGTCGTTGAAGAGCTGTAAAGAGTAAATCCATTAATCCAGTACAGCGAAAAGTTCTTAAGCATGCCTGACTAAGCATTTCGTTGTAATTTAGTCAAACAGGTGGTTTATCTGAATTACCTTGGTGGTATAAGCGTTGGTGGTCACGTAGGCTTCGTCGTCATCTTCCACTTCTTCTGTTGTATCGTTTGGATCGTATTCTTCATCATCTTCTTGGTCATCGTAGTCGTCTTGGTCATCAGATGCTTCATCTTCGTCGCTGTTATCGGGCGTCACATTGTCATCATTGTCCGCGTCATTCTCCTCCCCCTCCTCTTCAGAGACCACTTCGTCCAAAGACTGCAAGGCAGCAGCATTCTGGCATTTTGCCATTTGGGCTATGATTTGCTCGCGTCCATGTTGACCAAAGCAATTGCCATCCAGATTGAATTCACGCAGCTTGGGTTTGTGCTGCACGGCCGTCACCAACACCAGACCGCCATCATAGTTGATGTCATTGAATCCCAAATCGAGAAGCTCTAGCTGCTCGTGGTTCTGCTCCAGAGCCTCGGCGAAATGGTAAGCACCATCGGTCTTTAGCAAACAGTCGCCAAAATTGATTTCACGCAGTCTGCAAAAAAAAAAAAAAACAAGAGTGAAAAATTAGAGGATGGAACGTTTGGAAATAAGATCCGAGTTTTACACTTACAGCGGGGTATGCTCAAAGACTTCGGCGATCTTAGCAGCTCCACGAACTCCCAACGTATTATCATTCATGTTGAGGATTCGTAAGTGGGGATTCTGCTTAAAACTACTTGCAAGTGCAGCGACGCCAACGTGATAAATGGAATTCTGTGGCATTGTAATCTCTTCCAGCGTTTGCAGTACTTTGAACGTTTTTGACAAAGCCTTGGCTCCGGCATTCTCCAAGCGATTCCGTCCAGCTACAAAGACCCGCAATTGAAGCGGTGTACCTGCTTCCTTGGCGTTTTTATGGAGATCGATGAGGGCAACAGATAACATTCTTCCGCCCTCAGGACCAAGGCCACAGTTATTGAGGTACAACTCCTGCAAGGTGTAGCAAACGGGTGAACGTAGGAACTTCTCCAGCCCGGTCATTCCGTTTGGACCAAGTGCGTTGTCGCTGAGATCAAGCACTGTGAGCTTGGCGCCAGCTTGAATTAAACCAGCGCCCAAATGTTCCAAAGCCAGTGGAATCTCGGACTTAAGACGTCTAGTAAAGAGGTTTTTCCATAGAGCTTTGCGGAATTCCGGATGCTTGTGTAGGGCCTGGCCAATAGCTTGAGCAGCCTCCACGCCTAGAGTGTTGCCATCGAGATTGAGATAGTGAACTGTGGATTGTTTGTTGAGCGCTTCAACTACGGCTTTAACTGTCGATGTGTGACAAAATTAATAAAGTTACATTTTACATTTGAAAAATATTCACAGTTCAGCTTACCATCTTCGGCATTATTCCAGGTTTCGCCTTTCTCTTGGAAGGAAATGCCCTGCTCCTCGTTGAGCTGTGCTGCCATACTGGCGAAGCTGAAGTTCGACATGGACGAGTTAGACATTTTTACTTTTTCTCTATTTATTAATTATTCTTTCTGTAAAAACTGTACTTTTTAATTCCGATTCTCGTTTTTTACAAGCTTGTGGAGTTTGCGCTAACCTCTCAAAAGGGCGCTAGAATTGACAGAAATTGCGGCGTTTGTTTGCAGGCAGCTGCATCTTTTTTGACAGCTGCTGGCTGCGACAGTAGCTTGGTCTCACTCTTACACAGCCGGCTTACGGATTTTGCAACACTGCAAAATATTTTTGCTAGTAGAGCTTATTCGAGTTTACTCAGATAGAAAATTAACTAAGTTCTTGCGAAATCTGCAACTTTTTGTCAATATTATGTTGTAATGCTGCGAACAATATTAGTAATTTTAAGAAGTAATGTTTTAATTTATTGTTTTCTTTCATATAGAAAGCGAAACGTGCAGCAGTTCATTTCTGATCTGGTTCCGAACGGAATGGTGTAACTCTAATAAAAACAGCTGTTAATGTGATGCATTAGTCAATAGTTTATTTTACTGAATAAAATTGAATTGTCAGTAAAATAAATATTATTAACATTTAGAAGCATTTAAAATGTGTGCAGCATACGCCAGCGGCTCCTGGATAGATGCTGTGTTTGATGAAATAGCACTAGAGGGCTTGGACGGCACCACATTACCATGTAAGTAATATAGTGACTGTTGAAATATATAAACAAATAATTTTATTTTAAATATATAGCTCTGTGGTTGCTGTTGTCTATAAGACTGTATGGCGGTAAGCCCTTGCCAGATAAGTTGCATCAGCAGATATGGATGTTATTATTACGGTCGACACAGGAAGTCAGCTTCTTTATATTGCCCGAGCCGAGGCCCTTGATGCCGCTATATAATCGCGTCAACGATCAGGACGTGGAATACGGAATGCCTGTAATTCCACAGAGCTGTCCCATTCTGCGCCTGCCCTTCGCCCCCGTACAGGATGGTAATATACGAGGCAACTGCAAGGACTACAAGAGCCGACGTCGCATATCTGTGGGCGAGTTAAAGGCACTGTCCGCCGCAGAAGCCACCGAGAGATATCAACAAGAGATGGTCGTAGTGGCAAACCAGGAGCTGCGCTTGAAGGCACTGAAGCCAGCAAACATGCTGTTGCCCCGTGAGCTAACCGTGCATCATTATGTGTTTCTTGAGACTGTGGGACGGTCGCGCTATAATGGAGAAACCACACGGGGTCCCTGGTCCTTGAACAATTACTTCAGTGACCCCAGTTTTATATTCTATTTGAAGTGAGTTTGTAACATCATGCAGCACAAGTGAATTTGAGTCTAAAATAATATTTATTGCTAACGCAGAAATGCGTTGCAGAAGCAGCAACTGGTTGTCGGTCAGGCCTATACGGAGCGCCATAATGGACGCAACTTGATCTCCACCTTGGTCATGCTGCCTCGATTCTTTCGAATATACAAGAGCTACACTCAGAGCACCATGGAAAAGTTCTACACAGAGATAAAAGCGAGCCCGCTTCAGTATATACCTAGTTGTGAAGTATTGGAGCGTATACCGGATCTATCCAATTCGAGGCTGAAGAAGCTGCTCGTCTCGCACACGTTTCGCAAGATCTTTGAGACGGCACTTATCTATCAGCCAGGTCCAGCGAGCAGCGGCTCAAAACCCCAGTCAAAAGGCAAAAAAATGTCTATTGTGCGTCTTCGCAACCCCAACATGGAGTTCGATGATCTCAATCAGCTGGAGCAGACTGAAGACCGGGAGGACAAGGCGCCCGATGAGTTGCTGAGTCAGCGACACGCCCATGTCAATATGCCCATCGAGCTGGAATGCTGGCGTGCTATCAAGCACTTCGGTACACGGGGCATGAGCACGCTCGAGCTGGGTCAGTATGTGGCCATAAATTTTCAAATTGCAAGAGGTGTTATTAAGTATCTGATACGCAAAAACAAAATCAGGAGCTATACAGAAACGGCCGGCAAAAGTCGCATTACACGCTTCGTGGCGGTCGGGACTCAAGCCGAGGCGATTTACAAGGAAAAGGAGGAGCAGCTCGAGAAGTCGTTGCAGCAGCTCCAGTGCCAGGACGAACCGGTAATGTCAAGCTATACGACACAGTAAATTTCCTCACTTAAAACAATTAAATTAATTATTAAACCTTTTATTAATTTTTGCAAAATTAATATTTTATTATTCCTAATCCCTGTTGCCACGCCCCATTTTGCTTAGATCCTGATTGAAAGTTTCTCTTGTGACTATATATTTTACGTATATCTCTTATAAACTCAACTGAAAGCTGTTTTCACTCCTATTCCAGACTATCCCACAAAGCGTGGACGTTACGATCAACGATGTGCCCAGCATCAAAGCCAATGTGCGTGTTATGGTCTTCTCGCTGAAGCTGTACAAGGGCAGCGATAAGGAGACGCCACGGCACGTGGCTCGCAAGATGGTAATCGTGCGGCAAATCGACAAGAACTGCATTGTGCACACCATTGATCTGGCGCGCGCCATCATGGAGTCGGAGAAGAACATTGGCACACATGAGAAAATATGTCGAAAGTCGCTGTTTCGACTGCTGGAGCGAATGCAACGTGTGCGCATCGTGAATGTCTACGAGGTGACGTTGGAGTACGAGCAGAGCGTGCGTCTATATCGCCTGGTCACCCATCCCAAGATCGATCTACAGCACGAACAACTCAAGCGCGAGGTGTTGCGCTTGAAGAACAATTTCCACTTGATAACCGAGGAGCGGCTACTGCGTCCTGCCCAACTGCTGCGGGGCAAGGAGCGGCGCGAGCAGATAGAGCGCAAAAAACTACGCCTTGAGCGCCACCCCCAGGACAAGCCAAAGCCATCGGCACCCAAGCTCCTGGTGGCCTGCGTCCTGCACGAGTTCCTCTTTTATTTGCAGTGCGAGCAGCAGCGTGGTCAGACACCGTTGCAAATGAGCGAGGAATTGCTGCAACAGTGGCAGCGCAGCGAGCCCTCGCTGATGACGCGCGAATATCTGGAGGAGTGGCAAGCCGGGGAGTCGGAGGTGTTGCCCTACACGCAAGAGATCAGCTGGCGCACTTTTATTCCGCCCCTGCCCCGCTACGACAAGCCGTCGGGCTGGCTCTACTTCATGGATGCTCTGGACCGCATGCCACTCTCGCTGATGCTGCGCATCTTTCGCATCGATCGAGATGTGGCGGAGAAGCTGCGCCCGCAGCTGCAGCACCCGGTGCGACAGCACTACCTGCTCGCGCAACTGCAGCTGCAGAACTTGATCCCGCGAATCACGCTGCAGCAGCGTTTCCTGGGCATGCTACGTCTGCTAAACAACATGGGCCTGCTGCAGGTCAGCGAGCGGCAGGCGGGCCGCGACACGCTGCAACGCTGGGTGTATCTAAATAAGCGTGCCTGCCTGCTGGACACCACCACGAGCAGCGGGCACAACTACAAAAAGATTAATCCGGACCTCACCTACGAGCGCCTCACTTACGAGTTCACCAGCCGCGAGCAGGTGGCCGACTATTGGGCGAAGCTGCAGCACGTGTGCATCTACACCAAGCTGGGGTTCCTTAAGCAAAGGGAGCGCAAGGTGGGTGGCAGAAAGGTGGAGCGCCTGCCCACGCTCAGCTTTGTGCGCACTACCGACTTTGAGGAGGCAGAAAGACTGGATGATGGCAGTGTGCCAGGGGATCAGCAGGGTGCTGCGGGCCTTAGCTCTTCGCTCTTCGCGCACCAGTTTCGTCACTGGTCGTGGGTGAAGCGCAACTCGGTTCCAGCCCCACGTTCCACTACAACGAATGCGCGGAAGTCTACAACATCGTTTCCCGTGCGCAAACGCCTCAGCCTGATCCGGTTGAAGCCAGTGCCACGATTTGGTAAGACACGCGGTGCGGGCTCCGCGGAGACGCGCAAGCGCAAGACGGGACCACGCGACGACATCGATCGGGACGCGTTGCGCAACATGCGCACCTTGCGCGTCACGTGGTGTCCTGCCGAGGACCGTATTCTGAAGATGGGGCGAGCTGTCTACTTGTTCATTGACGCACCGTTGCCCGTCCTGGCTCTGTACAACGTGGGCATCATTTGCCGGGACGTCATTCGCAGATATCTGAACATTAATAACAAGACAACGCAGGCCTGTGTGCGACGGCTGCAGTTCCTCATCCGCATGAAGCGCGACCAGCCTGATGTGCGCAACTGGATTTACATGATGCAATCCCAGCCAGAGTTCAATGTCATCTACAATGAGCGCTTTATTCCGCAGCTCAAACAGGAGTATCCTGCGCGCAGCGAACAAGTCGAGGCGCTGCTCATACACTTTGTGATCATACTGGAGAGGCTGCATCGCATGATCATTAACGAGGTAGGCAGTTGTCCCCTTTGAGCGGCATCTAAACCAATCTAATATTCTTATTTCCTTCAAGGACTGCGTCTACCGTCAATTCCTGCTGCCCGACAACCTCGAGGACTATCGCAGCCGGTTTAGGGAGTGTGTTGCGTCGAATGGGGAACAGGACTTGCTGCTCTATGCCAATCCCAAAACGGAGACTGATCTTCAAATAACTGTTGTTTTCGGCGTACAGCACAGCCTCTTGTGCAGCTCGAAGGATAAGACGCTGTTCAATCTGCAAGCCTTTGAGATCTATAAACACTATTCTGAGGACGTCTTGAATGCGGCTTTCAATAAGGCGCGCGCAGACTCCCTTCTGGTGGCCGTCAAGCGGCGCAATATCCAGCATGTGGGTCGTCAGATCTCTGGTCCTGGACATTTGCTTAGCTCCAAGTACAAGTACAGACTAGTTTGCCAGAAGTACGGATACCTGCTGTACGATGCCTATTACACATTCGAGCGTCGTTTTCATGAATCTCCTGGCTGGACCAGCCTGGATTTGCCCTCGCCCAACTTCGCGCAGCTGCTGCTCCTGGGCGAATGGGTGGCGAATAATTGGTTGAGCTTGACTCTGCAGCTGCCCGTGAATATACTCAATGTGGATACGACCAGCATGTCAGCCAAGACTGCTGGGTCCGCGTCCGATCGCATTTTGGATCACTATAGCAGCATATTTGACAATGCACCGCAAACGGAGTACTCCAAGCGGTTGGAGAGTGTTTGCAGTGGTCGCCCGGCCTCTCGTGTTCGCTTCCACCCCGCAAACCTTACGTATCGTCTACAGAGCAGCATATATAACCAACTTAATAAGTTGCCAATGCGATCCATGCACTTCTTCTGCGCGCTCGATGCACTGGGACAATCTGTGAACATCAGCTGTGCGCGACTGGAGCACGGGGAATGCCCCTTCAGCTGCATAATGCACAGTGGAAATTATCTAAATGCCGTGGAGCGCATCATCTACGAGCATCGCGCCATATTGCGTCAATTGGTGGCCGATGCACTGCCTCAAGTGGTGCTGCAGTTGCAGCTGGATAGCTCTACATCTAGTAGCACCACTTTGACCGTTTCCACAGGGAATCTCGTAGCGCTCGTGGAGCAATTGGAACAGCACTGGCGCCAGCTGCAGCAGCCACAGGAGGTCAAAGATCTGGGCAAACGTTTAGCTGACTCAACGCTACACAAAAAAACGGATTGGCATTCGCTCTGCAGTGCGCTGCTCACCTATGAGGCCGGCAAGGAGGACAGCGGGGAGCACCCGCAAGATTACGAGCCGTCTCTAAACAAGGAGGAGCGTGCACGCGCACAGGACGTCTTTGTTGTGCATCTGCCCACGATCCACATGCAGGAACTGGAGCATCCGCAACTGCAGGCTAAACAAGATGAACTGCGCAAGGCTGTGTTGGACAAAGTGGTCAAGTAAGCGATTTCCCCCTACATGCTCGTCCCCAATCCCATTGCTTCTCTATTGTGCCTTCTCTTTGCATTTACCCAACTGATTCTCTGTTGGTCTCAGCTCCAATTCCTTTCTCTACATCGAATGCCTTTCGCACAAAAGATATTTATATATCGGTATATTTAAGTAATCTTCCTGCTCCCACAGATGACACATCTCACAGCCATTTTTATCTCCTCATATATCATCTTCCTGTTTACTTTTAGAGCCTCCTTCTGGCGCTATACGGACAACAGCTTTGAAACACTGCTGCCCACGCTGGAAGGGCTCAACTATGAAGCGCAGGCCATCCAGCAGGTGAGGGACATCTTGGAGCACATACAGGAACATCCATTGGGCGTTGAGAGCGTATCATTACGCCGCAGTTTTCCATTGGGCGACTTTCTGCTTGAAGCGCTGCAACAGCTGGAGGCGCATGATCTGATCAAGCGCGTGGGAGTTGCCAGCTACATGTACGTGCATAAGGCACACATGCGCGATTGGGTGGTGCACACGTTCCACATAAAGCGGTTGGAGCGGGAGCGTGTTCAGAATCGTGTGTCTTCCTCGCCGGCAACATTGCCCGCGGTCGTGGGACAGAAGAGGAAGATGATGGATCAAAGCTTGGAATTGCAGCCAAGTTGCAGCAAGATGGCCAGACTGGATGAGAAGCAGCAGCAAAGCAGTGGGGAGGACACAGACAGTGAGGAGGCGCTGCTGCAATGCGCACGTCGTTCCAAACGGATGAAGAAATCTGAGACAAGGGCGAAGGCCGAAATAAAGTCGGACTCGGAAGCCACAAGGGATGTAATTGCCATGCGGCCGCAGCCCTGGATTCGAGTGAATGCTTCGCTCAATCGGCGCGTCCTCGATCGTTGGATGGGTGCCTTGCTTAGCGAGTGCATAACACGGAATGGCTGCACTGTGCACAGCTTGTTTCTTCGCTTTCCCCATCTGATGCCCGTCGACCTAATGCTGCTGCTGGAGCTGCTCTGCGATTTGGGCTGCCTTCGGCTCGTGGAACTGGCGCCGCCGGCAGTTCATCTGGAGAGCTCCTACGGCGATGACTTGCAAGAGCAGCCTGTTACGATCGTCTACGATCCCAAGTACACCTACGTTAAAGTCCAGACGGATGCCATTGGACATCTGACCAATTTTATAGGGCACAAGAAGTACACATCGGAGTTTATTTAAAATATAACTAACTTTAGTCCCTAACAACCCTAAAACGGGATTATACTTTATGAAAGTAATGTTTACAAATGTAAGAAAAGATGAAAAAATGAATTAATTATTAATTAATTTTAAGTTGTTTTTTTTTTTTTTATATTACCTTTAACGTTTGATAAAGGATTAAGCATACATTTGTTTTATATCAAGCAACCTTCTATTTTTTCTGCAATCCTTTCTATAAAAAATAATATAATATTGCGAAAAGTTTATTTGAAACAATTAAGAAAGCTCTAGTGAAGATTACTCGACTACGAGATCCCCTGAACGCTTTCAAGGAACTATTTCAATAATTCATCGCGTTCACGATTGTGTCTTTTAACAGTGCTTCGCGTCGTACGGCTTACACAAGAAACAACACATAGGCATGCACGCATGGGCTGCAGTGCCGGCGTACTATGGAATTCATAAAATTTCTATATGTACATGCATTTGTCAAAGCAAGTCTCTATTATTTGAAACACAAGGTGAGGGAGCGGATATAGGGGTGGGGTAAATTTTAACAAAATGCATAATTTATTAAAAAATTGAGTTTCCAGCCATTAACCAGATAACAATACATACGGACAGGGCCAAATCGATTCAGCTCGTCGTCCTGATCAATAATATGCATACATATATACTTTATGGGGTCTGCCACGCTTCTTCTGCCTGTTACATACATTTCAACACAGCCGTTATTCCCTGATTTCCCATTTTCAATGGGTTCAGATAATTGTTTATGGGATTTAGCTTCTTGTTTGTCCTAATTCAACTGTTTTCTCAGGGAAAAACGACAAGATTGCTTCTGAGATCGACGCGCTCATACAGGGCCAAATCAACTTAGATCGTTGCACCGATCAAGAATATATGTATATCTAAGTACACTTTGTGTGGTGTGCCACGCCTGTTACATATATTTCAACAAATCCATTATACCCAGCCTTCCCATTTTCTATGGGTTCAGGGTAATACCTGTATCGAATGGGCATTTTTCTCTTTTTAAGAAAAAGAGAGAGTATAATGAAAATAATGCTTATATAGAATTACTTCGTGAACGCGAGACTTCTGGACCCAAATCTGAAGATAGAGCGTTTATAGTTCTTTCTCCAATTTAGAACTTATGACAACAATATTTACATTCTTCAATGGACTCACTGCTATTCATCCAAGCAATTTTGGTGGCCTGTGAAGTGGAATTAGTAATGTATTCGATAAAACGTTTAGTAAAATAATGGCTCACAAATATGGTTTACTTAGAAAATGGATAAAAGTAATCTTGCATAGCTGAAACGAGTGTATCTACTCCAACCATTGCAGTCAATATTCCGTTCACAAAAACCTTGATGAATCAACTATATACGAGTGTTTCAAAATCACAATTTGTATGTACGCAGCTCTCTACAAAAAATTTAATAAGCCTACGCTTGGCTTTCTACCAAATAGTTTGATACAACATTCGCTTTTTTCCTTGTATTTTCGTTTCACTATTTTTCCAAACAAAAAATACGCGATGTCGTTTTTTTTTTTACCGCTACAAAAGTGCATTTGTAGCATTTGTTTTTTAATTAGCGTTTCACTAAAGTTTTTCCTTAAATCATTTTTTGATGTAAAATCCGCGTTGCACTTCACTTGCACAATCCAGCAGCAGTGGTTCTTTTTTATTTTATTTTATTGTTGTTGTTTACCGCTTGCCACCGACGCGAGGGGCCGACTTCTGCGTCACCTTGGTGGCCTTCTGCTTGGGCGCCGATTTCTTGGCGGGTGCTGGCGCGGCGGCCTTCTTGGCAGCTTTAGCGGCGCGTTTCTGCTCCTTGGCTACCTTGATGGCCTGATCCCGTTGGGCCTTACGCACCTCGGGTTTCATGTTGCGCTTAGCCATAATCTCCGCAAGTGAGGCACCGACGATGGCGCGCTGGAATTTCTGTGTGCGGCGAGTACGCTTCTTGGAGGCCTCCTCCTCGATACCCTTACGGTGCTTACGGCGGTACAGCACAGTCCAGGTGACTTTGCGGGGATTACGCTTCATCAGGTAGGAGCGCTCGCACTTCTTGTCCAGAAAGGTGAAGGTCTAAAAATTTTTTACATATTGGATTTATTTGGACATTTTGAATATGTTAGTTGTTAACTATACCTTGCCATCGACTTTGACCATGGTCTTGCCATGGCCGGGGTAAATTTTGTACCCACTGAATGCGCACAAGCCAATTCTGCAAATAAAATGTTTTGTTTGATCATCGCCTGAATTAATATTGTGGTATAACACCAAGGTACATATCCAATTGTCACATGCAACGCAAAACAATTGTGACTGCACAGTGATGTACATAAATTTTGAAAATTAATATATTTTTTACGTACTTCATCTTGCTGGTCAAAAGTGAAAAGAAACGGAAGTTGACGCGCTATTTGACAGCCGCTGTCACATCTGCACAGCTGATGCCCAGTGCTGGTTAGGTGTCAAAGTGCAGGGTTGTATTAGCAAGGTTGCACAAGGCATGGCGCCAATTTAAGCAAGTCGTTTTTTGACTTGTTATTTATTAAATATTTTTCGAGGCTTCTAACAAAAAATTTTTGTAATATCAGTTACACATTATATTGCTCCCAACTGTTGGTCATTTTGTTTCTTGCTGTCTTCTTCATGTTCACCATCTACGGGTCGATCGTCTTCATCGTCTTCATCATCGGACACCAAACGGCCAACAAGTGGATATTTTTCGCTATACTGTTGATCCCATTCCACTAAAGTGCTTCTTTGTTGTGCAGTTAGGTCACACATATAATCGAATTCCTGAATCTCATTTCGTTCCGCTGTAAAGTTGATCAAATTCCGCGATATATCACATCCGGCCCATTGGGGATAAGCTCCAGTCTGCCCATAGACCTGCTTAGCACACGATACATCGTATATATTGTAATTGACCGCGACTAGAATACGTCCATCTTCACGAGTGCCATTATATTTGAGTAACTCTTTAACAGTAAAGTCACGTCGTAGCGGTGGTAACTGCGATTTCTGGTTGACTGTTCCGTAGCCAAAGAAATTACGAACACGATTCAAATTGCGACGTTGACGTGATATATTCACTACCTTATAGAAAACGAACGCCGAGACGAGCAATAGCGTCAAATTGATGGGCGTATCTTTGATGGTGTTGTATACATTATAGTACCAGGGTAATTTTGCTTCGAGCGACTTTGTCTGTCCATTCTTCTCAGACATGTCTGGCGAGCTGCTCAAATTAAGTACATATATTTTAAATTAAAAAAAAATTTTTTCTTCACTCACCTAAAGATCTATGATCTGGTATCTACCTGTAAAACAGAATAATTTTTTACTCCAAAGATAAAAATCGAAATAATTGACAAGTTGCAAAAGCCTGCTTTAATTTAAATTTAAATTTAAACACCGGAAAACGAGTAACAAGAGCTGTAGTTCGAGTTAATATTACTGTTTTCCAGCACTGGCGCAGTCAGCAACGCTCAGTCTGCAGCCCTGTTTTCCGTGAATTGTCATCGCAAGCGAGCCCGCAGTATAGTCAATAATTTCGAAATTAAGATACAAGTACGTGTATTTGCAAATCAATGGCCCAACATGTGCGCAATGTTGTGTGACTAGCTCATTTTGCGTGCATATATTTTAAAATTAATCGCAAAATGGTGTAATTATCTGTGAAAATATGTAATTTAGTATCAGTTATTGTGACGCATTCAGCACCGATTCGTTTGGCTTGTTAAGTGGCAGGAAAATGGCTGCAGATATTGTAAACAATATATGTACGATAGAATGCAATAAAGTCATACATAGCAAAGAAGCATGCAGTTATTGGAGATAATAAAACAAAGACATAACAATTTTACACATTTTCCCTGAAGTCTTGTTTTTTAAATGCTAAAGTTAGCAGGCAAAAAGCTAGTTCCCAAACTAGAGCAGCACTTGTTACATTCACTTTTATTTTAGTGAGTTTGCTTCACTTTGTTATTGCACTGCTGTGGTTAATATGCTTTATTTTTATAGTTTGAGACATATAGTACATATATTGGCAATATGGATCTAGAGGAATTTCTAGCGCTAGAGCGACAGCAGTTGGAATTCGATCGCCAGCGTTTGGCTGCAGCTAACAACACTCTTCAGAATGGTGCAATCAATTCGCAGGGCGTTTGTCCTGCCGCCTTGCTAATGCAAATGAAAGGTTACAAGCCCAAGCAATGTCAGCGCATGGCCAACACAAAACACAGCGAGTGCAACGAACTGGAAAAGGCCTCGAGCTCGGCCTTAGCAACGCCTAACCAAAACTCCGACCTGCAGCTAGAGTTGAGTGTAGAGGAGAACTTGCCGGAGTTGAAGCTGGAGCAGGAGCCGGAACAGGAACAGGAACAGCGGCACCAGAGGAATACATCTGCCACCTCACCACTTAGCCTAAAGTCGGCCAAGGAATTTGTGAATCAGCGCGAATTGCTTATTGGCAGCGCCCGACAATATAAATCACCAAATGCGACGTATCGTAATTTGGAAAGCGAGCGACCGCAAAGCGAGAATCGATTGCCAATTGGGAAGCGAGCGACCGGCGTAAGTGATTAGGCACGGATAAGAGAGGGGACGGTGTCTGCCTTTTGGTGCTTGCCAATTTCAGTTGTTCATGCTCGATTGGCGAAACGCCTAAAACGTAGCGCTCGTAAGATTATCCATAACTATGCGAATGTTTTTACGGCTCGTTGAGCCGCTGCGAGTGCACGGAGCTTCGCCCACAATATTTGGCATTAGTTGTCAAAGGCTTTTCAAAGTGATTCGAGTGGGGCCTTATCAGAATTGTGAGTGCGTTTTACATAATTAAATTGGATACTTTGTTGAAACACGACTTGTTCAGTCCGTTAAAATATGTACAACAAATTTTAAGGAAATCGAAAGGAAAACGAGAATTTACCACTTATATGGAAGATCAAGATTAATAGTCAAGTTGATTCCACCATATGCGTCTGTTGGTATGACTAGATCCGAGTGATTAATCAACACCAAAAACTAAATATAAGTCAACCATCTGGCTTCTCTCTATCTCTCTCGATTTGTAGTTTATGCATATTCTAATTTCCTCGCCAGAACAGTGATTACAGAGTATGTACTAATTGGGCGCGCTCAGCCTTACTTATTTCGGATTGAAGTATCACTAGAAGTATAGGTAGTTTTCATTTTTCACAATTCACTTTTCAATTTGGAATTTTCAATGCTTCGGTTTCGCTTTTCAGCATGCATGTTCCTAATAATGGCAGTTCGTGAGCCCTGCGAGGATAGCAGAGTCAACATGCTCTGTAGCTGGCTAACTGGGCTAATGGGTTTTTATACTTTGTTATTTTGTCTTAACACAGTCAGTTTCAATTATTAAATAATTCAATTTTTAGCTTTGAAGCGTAATGTCCTTCATGCGTTCGGCCCCATGAATCTTTAATGCCCTTTACACTGTTACTATTCTTGTTTTCTATTGTTATGTGTGCTGTTTTTGTTGTTGTTGTTGTTGGTACTGTTGTTGTCGCTGTGGCTGTTCTTCGTGCTCCAGTTGGCATTTTGGCTGAGCGGCAGCGCCCGCTCGCCTGATGAATTTCGTTTGCGCAGCTCAGTTGTAATTTGAAGCTCGTTTGCTGCGTTCGTTGCTATTTTATTTGTGGTCTGAACTTGAAAAGCTGCTGAACAAATAACTCGTTTAATTATAACACCCAACAACAACAATATACACAAATCACATAGGTGAGCAGCAGGCGTGGCATCAATACAAATTGTCTCTAATTAAAATGAAATAAAAAGTGTAATGAAAATGCGAAAATGCGAAACACGAATCTTTAATGAAAACCAACATAGTTCCAGCTTTGTGTGCAAAGTACCGGTAGTATAAGAGAGCGTGAGAGAGAGAGATGAGGATAAGAGAAAGGAGAGTTAGCTATAAAATAATAAAAAAAAAAAAAAAAGTAAGAAGGCTCTAGTCGATACTGCACGACTAGGAGATACCCTGAATCCTCCATTCTGCACTTATTTCATTCACACACACATACACATGTATCCACACGCACGCATAAACCCGCGCTCTGCTAGCTGCTCAGTAAGCAGCGACTGCGCTTGGGCTGCGCTGCAGTGCGGGCAATATGAGAATTTATTTGTTGAATAATTTCTTTTATTGAAGGACAACCCAATTGAAACTTTCAGGACGTAATCATAACGTTAAAATGTGCGTACATTCTGGGGGCGTGGTATCCAAAATGTGTAATTTACAAAATGTTTGTATTCATCACCAGTAAATCTGGAGTCTCCAGGTCTAAAAGTCTTCAAATGGGGCTGAAAAAACCAAGTCAATTTTTCATTTATTCTCGATAAAAAACATAAAAATGTCAGCTCTCGTGCTCATAGCTTCTGAGATTTTGACGTTCATACTGGCTCATCGCCCTGATTTGAATATATATACTGATCCTGATCCTGAATATATATATTTTATGAGGTTGCCACGCCTCCTTCTGCCTGTTACATGCATTTTCACAAAACTAATATACCCTGATTTTCAATTGTCAGGGTATACAAAAAATAAAAATAAAGACCGCATGACTGGCGAAATTGCAGCGTTTTAAGAAATATTTAACATTGTATGAATGTATACTCTGCCTTAGCATGGGCATGTTACTTGTTTGTTAAATTCTTAATGACAATCGCATAATTTATGAATGAATAAATATCAATTCACTTTGTTTCGATATTCCTCAGTTTAGATAATTTAACTTTGAAATGATACGGGAGTCTAGGAGCTTCGAGCCCCAAGTTGTGTTAAGCAAATCTTCACATAGGTCTATAAATGATATAGTAATAAATCTCAAATTATCGACATTTTGTTGCTTCATTATTCTCATGACTAAACCTTTTTATGATTAATGAAATCAACGAGATATGTAGGCGCATGCCGTTTGTATCCCCTCATTATCTTCCCTAAATATCTGTACAAAGTGTGTTTAGTCGGCTTGCTTTTTAAGCTAAAGTGCCTGCATTTTTTAGCAACTTTTTGTGTGCACTTTTTTTGTGTGCATGAAAACTGAAAGCGTTTGGTCATGCGATTTCCGTCCGCAAAGTGCATTGTGCCATATTTGTTTTGATGTGGCGCGGCATGGCCCCTGGGCTCGGGCACTGTCGAGTGTTTAGTGGCTGGTCATTTCCGCTGAAGCATTTCTTTGCCAATAGCTAATGACAATTTTGTATGTGGATGATTGATGAGGTGAGCTAAAAGCTCATCAATACTCTTATAGGCCCCTTCGCAATCGCAGGGTCTGGAATAGGAGTAGGAGTAGGAGTAGGAGTAGGAGCAGGAGCAGTGTGCAGGCCACTTAAGTCATTAAAGCCATGGAGAAAGGAAAACGAAAAAACGGACACGACCTGAACAAGGTCAGTTATATGAAAGTCGCCTAATTAATTGTTCAGCATTACGATGGCGCGTGTGAGTGGGTGAGTGTGGGTGTATGCGTGGCCTTTTTACGACTATATGTGATTAGCGTATACGCGATTTAGATTTTTGTCTTATCGCTGGCTGCAGCTAATGAACCGTTAAAGCTTATTTGGAAAGCGTGACACCAAAGGCTTTTCACTCCCACTGAAGCTTTTTAACGCCACATGTTTAAAATTCCACGAAATGGCCTTGAACTTATGGTGTCTGGAGTCTACAGCATAAATAGCCCCCAGAGTCCAGCTCCCGATACGCGCTTTTACACGCATTTTCCTCAGCTTTCGCACTTTTCGCGCCCACACTAACACAAGTTTACCCACTTAGTTAACCTAATTCGAACGGGGCACGCAATGTGGCGCCCCAATGAATGGACGTAGTAAAAGTTTGATAACGCCAACACAATGGATGAATAACTGGAGTTGTCTACATAAATTTATGTCGAAGCCTCTTCTTGGAGCTGACAAAAAGGGCCAACATGTTTTTAAATCTAGGAATCCCTTAAAACATATATTTTGGGAGATCTGCAATCAAGGAGCAGCTTTAAAATACTATATAAAAGTCGTCGGCTCTAATTCGATTTAACATTATAGCTTTATTCAGTGGAACAGTAAAATGATTTGACCTTCTTGTCTCTTGGAATCAGAGATAGAATCAGACATTGTCTAACGAAATTAGAGATCATACTGTGAGACGAAATATGAAACTTTTTTATGATATATGTTTCTGTTGGCACAAGCACTGACACAGTTTTTCAGATGAGTCGGTATGGCTGATTCTCTATGTATATAAAACGCCATTTGCTCCACTGTGCCAACGCCTAGGAATTTTAGATCAACGCACCTTAAATATAATAAAAGAAAATGTTAATGTCCAACCCATACTATTTATTCGCACACACCTCCACCGATTGGCAGAGCATTCCTTGGGCTACGCGACATATTCATAAAATATATGTATATATATTTATACAAGCCTATTTTGGTTGATAGTTTCCTTGACCTGAATAACCAAGTGCTCGAGTATGCAAATTATTCGACGAGTGTTGACGGAATGCTAGACTAATAGACCAATCCCTAGCACTTAGAGAAGTGATTCTTACTGCAAATTAGCCTTTAATTATGCTAAGAGCTAAAGCATTTAATCAACTGGCTGTCAAGTGATGAAATTGTTAAAACGAACTTTAACTAAGGCGAACATCAAGCCGAAGTCGTCTGGAGTGCAAGCACCTAGTCCATATTGTGGAGCGGCTGAAACAGCTGAACCTTGTTGATAAACACCCAAGGGGACTGCCTTTGGCTTGGGCTGATGACGCAGCTATTGCTATAGCTCCGGCGACGCCCCTGTTCATAATGCTCTTTGCATTGCAATACCCTGTACAAACGGGCTCTAAATTTAATACAAGACTTTTGGCTTTGCTTAGTGAATAAATCTTACATAGATCTCAATTATTTAGTTCTATATTCTTTTATCTCTGCCCATGTTATCGTATCTGTGCTATCGTTATTGATATATCTACTTAAGATTTGTGCTTGATTATTTCGCCAGTTTTGTATTTCTGTATTTGTTCAACTTCATTGATCTTTTCTATATCTTTGCTTCTATTGTTCTCTTTCTATTGCTATTTTCTTCGTCATATTACCAATAATTCTGTTTCCTTAAACTCTTTCATTTGAAACTGGTGTAGCTTGTCTAGGATATTTTAAAAGTCAAGCTAACTATATTGCTGAAAAGTTGCTTATTTTCTATAACAAAAAGTAAAATCTTATGCCAACGCTGCACGCGATGTTCGTCATCGACGCCGCTGTCAGCGTCGCCGGCATACAAATTATGTGGCAGAAGGTGCTGGCAGTAGGGAATGTGCTGCCCTCGCTGGAGCAGCTCCCGTCGCAGGCAATAGGCTGACCCCAAAAGGCAAAGGCAAAGAACAACGACTGGCCAATAATTTGCAGCTCTCCGTCTACTAAAAAGCGGCTCTCATTAGACTGCCCACGCACCACCGAGGCGTACAAAATGTACACGAGCTTTCTGCTGGTGGTTAGTGGTGTCGCCAAAGGCTGAAAATTATTTATATAATACACACAAATAAATACAAGACTCGCTGCATAATATGAATGCTAACTGAGCGCGCTCTCTCTTTCTTTCGCACAGGATGATATGGAGCAATGGGTTACGGACACATTTTATTCGTATTTTCCCGGCTTCAACAATGAAAATCAGAAACGTCAAAATTATTTGCGTGAGCGACAGCGCGAGAATCAGCAGAACTTGCTTAAGCACCAGGTAAGTGCCATGAACTGTAGACCATAAACCATATCGCGCCATCCGTTATGGTAATCCGTGTTGGATTTATGTGCCAGGCACTGTAATTGATTTACGTTGCTTCTAGATGCTGCACCCGCCATTGGCTAAACAGCGAAGACAGCTGAAGCCAACCACAGCAACGCCAACACCAACTTCAGTGCCGGCCGGAGAGGAGCTGCAGACCACGGCGCGCTCCAGTCAATCCAGCACAAGCACAAACCACAGCCGAACGGATAAGACTGACCTAGAGTTAATTGTAAATAATAACCCCAACTATGTGCCGCCGAAAATACGTACGGCTACGACACGTCAGCAGCTCCTCCATGATCTTGGCCACGTTGAGCTCTCCAACATTGTCTCCGGCGACGGCATCAACGAGCGCAATATGCGCAGTGCCGAACTGGAGACGGCACGCAAGAAAGAGTACCAGCGGGACTTGATGCAGCAAATCGAAGAAAAGCGTCGTTCCATCGAGATGCTACGAGAGAAGGAACGGCGACAGGAGGAGGTGCTGACCAGGTGAGTGTTGTCCAGTACTTTGCTAGCCATGCTCAACAATTTTCCTATTCTTGCCTAGGCGCCTGGAGGCCCAGCTCAAGACGATGCACCTGGAGGAGCAGCTCGAAAAGGAAAAGAAGCGCGCTGAAAAGGTTTGTTAAGATTGAAATCTGTCGATTGCACCCATGATGGCTCAAACACCCTAATACCATTTTGTATTTGTGGATTGTAGGTATTTGTTGTCTGCATATTTCAGTTTTCAACATCTTGCTTTATAGAATTGCGCTCTTTGCTTTATATGTCTTCTGCACTGTGGCACAATTATTTTTGCAATATCTTATTCATTCCGATGTCTCCATTAAATTAAAATTGCCAAATTGAAGATGACAGAATTCTGTAAAAATTAAACAATTTGTATTGCTTGACGCCAGATTGAGTTTCGTATATTTTGTATGCCGAGTGCGAGTGCGAGAGCGAGAGCGAGGGCGAGTCTGATTTCATATTAAAAGTAACTGATGAATCGCTTCAACAGGCACGCATTGAGACGGAACGGAATCGTTTGAAGCGCGAAAAGCTGCTGGCCAAACTGGAAGAGGATGCGCAGCTGTTGCATGCCAAGGAGCTGAATAATTCCAAGGATATCAAAGCCAACACCAACAATAATACCAACATCAACAACACCAATATCAATAATAATAACAACAGCAATAATAATAACAGCAATGCCAACACCAACAAGGTCTACAAGTACTTTAGCAATTCGGCACGGCACGAATATAGACGGGGCCAGCCGTTGCCGCCGGGCGTGGAGCTCGATTTCGAATTGCCCCAAATGGCGAAGATTGAGCGCGAATGCTTCCACTTGTGCGAGAAGATCTGCCCGCTCTGCGACGAGCCGCTGAAGAGCTATGAGAGCTGTTGCCTGCGCTGCCAACGCAAGTTGGCTTTGAAAATGAAACCGCCGAGCAGCGACGCGCCGACATCAACGAGCGATGAGGCGACCGTCGAACCGGCTGCTGCAGTCGATCACAGCTGCCAGAATAGCTATGCGCTTGTCTGCCTGAAGTGTGAGCGCCTGTATGCCATGTGTGGACAGTGCCTGGTGAAGAGCGATGTCTGCCGCGCCTGCCAGCGAGAGCGCAATATCTGCATGAACTGCCGCCGCAATCTGTGCTCCTTTTGCCTGGAGGAGATCGCCTGCGGTCGCGATGCCGAGCGCACGCATATCAATGAGCAGCTGGACCGCGAGCAGCCAACAGAGGATTCGTTTCGCGTGCTGGAAGTCAATTGCCCGCCGGCAGCAGAGAACAATTGCTCAAACCTAGTAGATACGACGCCGCCGCCGTATTCCTTTAATATATCTCCCAACTCGGTGTTTCACGAGGACTATAAGGCCACGCCCGTGAAGCCATTGCAGCTGGATCAGGAGCCGCTGCCCACTGTCTCGGGCAGTGCGAACAACAGTTTCGAGGTCGACAGCGCCGATGAGCAAGCGATGAAGCGTGTGAGACTTCAGACGGATCAGCGCTTGTCGCGCTACATGAAAAACTATGGAGACTTGGCCCTCAAGCAGCAGCAGCACCAGCTGCACCGGCAGCTGGAGTTGCGCAGCAAAAGTGAATCGCGTAATCGCGGCACACAAACAACACCACAGACATTGGGACGGCGCGACATCGTTCTCCACGAGACTCCCACTCAGAATTTATCAATGCCTCTGCTCCGCGAAATGCCCAAAATGACGCGCAAAGACGCGGCCCCTACGCTGGACGGCAATCGGCAGCAGCAGAAAATAGACAATCTCAAGAAGCGCTGGGAGGTGTGTAGTAGCTCATTGAGTCTTAAGCATAAATAGTAACCTATTCTAATATCGATCCAGGTGCCTGTCGTGCAGAAGTTCACGGTGTCCAAATCGTCTCCGAAGATCCTGACACAAGTGGGCGCAATACGCAAACAACTGCAGGCGGCGCGTTTCTATGATGATGGCCAGGATGCCGACGACGACGACGACTACTGAGAGCTAACGCCAATTTTTCAACCATTTGTGACAAATTGCCGACGTTTAGTTGATGTTCAGTCGAAATAGCTCAGCAACAATAGTTTTAAAAAATCTCATTTAGTTTTGTCGATTTCTCTATATACTTTATAGAGTAAACTAATGGCACTTTAAAAATTGTGCAAATTCGGTTGGTTTCAAGTCCAACATAGATAAATTTTATATTTCTTTCCCTTTACATTCTCTCTCCACTTTATTTCATTTAGTTTATTTGGCTATCCAAAAACTAATCACTGAGATATTTATTATATGATATATGATACCATGTGCTTCTGCTGTTAAGCAGCTATCAAGTTTACGTAAAACTTAAGTAAAAAGTTTGTTAATGTTTTTTATACATATATACAGATTATAAATTAAATAACATCTTATTAAATTAAATAGCTAATGGTGTTTTAATATCTAAATATATTTAAAAGTGTAAAATTTGTAATACACCTAAACAAAGTGCATGAGACTATATAATACGTATCTAGCTTAATATTTTTGCGAGTCTCCGATCACATACATACAATATATGTATATGTCCTATGTCATGTATGTTTATATCGTAAAAATATTAAGAATGGCCTCATAAGGCCATGAGTACCGTTAGGAAGAGTATCAACGTCTTCAAAGTTAATTGTAATGAATTCAGGAATTTTTAAACTATGAACTATGAATTAGAAATTACCAATTCTATCTTTCTATTAATATTTACATATGTACTATACGAGCTCAAACCACAAATAATTCGAACAGCATGTTTTTTTTTTCAGTGCGCAGTTTGTTAGCAATACTACTAAGGATAGCACATACCAATGTGAGTAAGGTATTCAAACGGTAGACTGAAGAGATTGTGATTTACTATCATACCTAAAACAATAATTTAATTGATATTAAACTTGTGTTACGTTGCCCTTGGCCTGCATTACGCATTTAACTAGTTTGGCATTGATTTTAACAAATTTTTGCAGTGGTCTTGAGAAATTGAGTCCCACATCTCTTGCAACTTGATTTTCAAGTCAGAAAATGTTCCTTTCTGGCTCATTTTGATTCGCGTACTAACATGTAGTGCTCTCTGAATGAAGGCAAATGTTTTTTGTTTTGAATGGAAACATTTCATATTTTAACTACTCCACTAAAAAATTCGAGAGATTTTTTTTATAATCAACATTAATAATGTACAATCCTTTCAAACCTGCATTAATCAATATACTCCGTATCAATGTATCGTAACACTAAATACTTATTTTCCAAGAAGCGGGGGCTGCTATCTGAAAAGTAAAATATAAATGCAGCCCCCTGGCGAACCCTTGCCAAAATTGAATCATATATGTATTAGAGTTTTCGGTTGTGATATCGTGGTTTATTATCTTGCTTTCGTAACGGTCCAATCAGATGTATCGTGAAGGCGTGCGGGATTTACCAACGCAGGGGGCGTGGCGCGTATATAGGAGCGTATTGGGTGTAGGCACCAGCTGATCCATAGCTTGGAGCTGGAGCGCTGCACGGTACTGGGGCCAGGTTGGGCTGGCAGCTGAACAGATAGTTCTTCGGGCACGGCGGTGCGGGAATGGAGACGGGCGCTGCCTGGGCTGGAGCCGCGTTGGCAGAATAGGAAGGTGCAGCTGGAGCAGCTGGTGCGCCGTAGCCCTGGGGAGCGGGGGCAGCAGCTGGTTGGCCATAGCCGCCTCCATAAGCGGAGCTCAGCATCTTCTCCTCCTTTTCGGCGCCGACAACGGATGTGGCCAAGAGGCAGGCAATAGCGGCGAACACAAAGAACTTCATGTTTAGAGTTAATTTGGGTTTTGGATTAAGTGCGGAACTTTGGCAATTGCGAACTGCGATATGGACTGCAACAAACGAGTGCCTTTATATAGCAGTCCGCGGCTGTGGCAAAGAGAAATGCAAAGCCAAGCATTGGCCAAGTTTAAAAGCGCACTGAGCTGATTCAGCTGATTTTTTCCCTAGTCAACAGAAACTATTCGACTTTTTATTGTGGATCTGAGCGCATATTTTATTTTACATATACATTTTTTCTATATTTCCGCAATTTGTATATTACAAAATCTTTAAGAAGCTTAAGTGTTTTTACTTAGCCAGCTCTGAGCATTAGTTTTCTAGCTGTAAGATTTATACAGTCATTGGAAATGGTCGCTTTGCTTTTAATTATCTTATCTTTTTAAAATTATCTCTATTAGGAAAAAAAAAACTGTAAATAATCTTAAATTCAATCTACCATATATGTAGATATTCATAGAAAAATCAAAATGCCTTAATTGCACAAAATATTTATGCGCTTCTAAGATATTCAAAATATTATGTTTTCGAGGGAATTTTGATTTTTTAATTCATCTAACCTTTTTAGAATGCATTGGTATACATGCATTTTACATATTACATGCAACCGAATTGGCGATAGTTCAACGCATTAACACTAAACTTGTGCGTAGTGCAAAGGCGTCACAGTGAGTCGTTTCTGGGTGTAGGGCTCTATGTCGGTATAATGGAATCGAGCAAGATTTGAATGGGCATTAAGGCTGATGTCATTTGATCGAGATCTCAATCTTAGTCAACAACATTAATCAAGATTGCTCAATTTCGATGGTAGGTGAAACATTAGTCCTGAGTAAAAATCTATTTTAACTAAACATTTTGCCAAGCACAATTTATTCAACATTTCTTTTAGTTCAGAGTTCCATGTGGGTCAAAGTGTTCTTTTAACAGTTTGCAATTGGAGCAGCTAGTGTCCAAAGAAGTGTGCCGCACACAGCTCCACACACACATTCGTATACGCACGCTCACGCATACATACTCTTACACACACTCAGCATAGTCTTGACTTTGCGCTTGCAATTGCAGTTCTTTGCTGCTTGTAATACAATTGCGTATAAGAGTTGGAATATAATTTGAGTTTAGGGGAGAAGTATAAGAGTATAAGAGAGAGGCATGTGTGCTGAGTATAGCATGAAAAAGCTAAAAGCCCGTTGGGTGGCTCGACTAATAGATATAGATATAGATATAGATATAGATATAGATATAGATATAGATATAGATA